ATCACATAATAGATATAAAATTCTTTTTGCTATTTCTGATTTATTGCCATCAAATTATTTAAAATGTTAGAAATTGTAACTAGCTCATTAAATGAAAAGTTTTCTTCTACATCTTTTAATTTCTTTTGAAATTCATCACTATCTGAAGCAAAGTCAAAACCAGAAAAGTTTCTAATTATTTTCTGTTAGATCTGTCACCGTGTGTATTGAAAATAAATATGTGTGAAGTTCTAATTTTTTCTGCTGTACAATTCTTCAATGCAACATTGATTTGATTGATTAATTTTACTTAGGATCATTTTCAAATATGAAAACAAAATCTACATACCTTCTATCTTCGATGTTTTTTCAACATATAATCTTGCATAGAATTTCAGTAATTGCTTGAGGTATTCTCTAATCCCAACTTCTGATATAATATGTGGTAATACCTTCTAGAAAAGACATCTAAGAAACTACTTGAAAGGACAGCATGCTTAATTACATTTAAAGTATTTACATTTTTAACAAATAAGTTAGTATAAACTGAATTAACTTCTTCAATATATTTTTATTTATGTCTTTATTATCGTTGATCTTTTACTGCATCGAGTCCAACTCACAAAACAAAAAATAAAACATTAAAAGAATTATACGATGAGCAATCTGTACACCATCTGGTATTCAACATTGGCACTACATAGACATAATAGAGCAAAGAAAATACAGAACACTGTTGATCCTATATTGAAGAGGAAGTATTCTGATTGCGTCATAAACTAACATGTTGACTTCGTAAGTAAAACTTGGCAGTAGAGGCGATTTTATTTCCATTTTTATTTCCAATTGACATTATGTGACCACAGATCACTTGACACCCTAGTCGTGCCTGTTCAAGAACATTTACATTATTGATATTTCTGCAATAGGATGCCACATAGGGAAATTGCATTCAAGCAAAGCAGAGACAGAAGCTAAAGTGCGTAGTTATGAAAGACGGAAGCACATGAAGAGAAAAAGTTTTGGTTTACGATTTGGTGATTGGTCAAGAGGCCGCATTGAGGGTTACGTAAGATCGCATGATTAATTTTAATGACACAATTTAGACTTGCAGCGCTATTTTTAGGACAGATTGATGAAGTTCCCAAATGAAATAGAAAATAAAAGTGGTTATAATGAATTAAATTTAGAAGTTTGCTTCATATTTTTTTATCTTATATATATATATATATGGTGACCGAAAAAATGCACATCGGAAAAAAAGGACTACAGAAAAAATACTCACAGGTATTAAAGCTCACAGAAAGAAAGCCCACAAGGAAATATGCCCAAATAGAAAAAAGCTCACATGGAAAAATGCTTACTTAGAAATATGCTCACACGGAAAAAATCTCATATGAAATATGTTCACATGGACAAATGCTCGCATTAACCTTTTCAGGGGCAGTAAATAAAAGCTTGAAAAACTGTAGTAAAATTTGTCATGTTCTGTAATATGTTTATACCACTGCCCCTGTGCAACAATTTTTTCCTGTAATTGCCAATAATTAATTTTTGCTTTTTTACTCTATTTTTGCATACTTTTGATGTGTATCTTATACAAATTGATGTTTGAATGTAGTTATTTAAGTTTGGAGCCAGAAAAGTTGTAAAATTTCTGCAGAAATTTAAAATTTTAGAAATAAAATTAACATTTTTTAGGCACTTTAATGATGCCTCTCAGTTGAACATTATGAAGTAGCCTTCGAAAAATCTCCTAAAACCACAAATTGTTGTAAAAGCTTTCATCATTTCATAATGCACTAAATTGATTATTTAATTGTAGCCATCCCAGTATGTGGTTTTTATCTGACAGACTGAAAAAAGATTTAACCTGTCAACATTTGTTATTAGTTAATGTAAATACAGGATGTACTGAAATAAAAAGAAAGAAAATATAAAAACTTACATTTGGTAATCAAAAATCATGTAAGAAACTATCATAAAATCGATGAAAAATTAACTATTTTATGTAATTTAAATAAAATAATCTTTTCTTTTTGCTTATTCTTCTAAATGTTTATACATTGTGTTTCAAAAAGAATATATGAATTACAAAGTGTTCTTTTGTCCAAACTATCGATCACTGTGCCTCAGCTTGGCTATTGTCAAAACAAATACATAATCTAGTTTATATTAATAGCCGCCAGATGTCAGTTGTCTTCTGTTTTGCGTGGTAACCATCACGTTTAAAATCGCTACTCCGCAGCAGAAATCATTTTGTGTTCTCGAGTTTGCGAAATGCAATTCCGTGATTACAGTGCAAAGATGTTTGAGGTACCAAAGTAATCCTCTGAATGGGTGGAACATTTGTAGATGGCATTGCCAGTTTTGTAAATACAAGGTGTGTATGTAAAGGAAAGAGTGCTGGTCGCCCTCGTGTTTCTGACGAAAATATTGCACGAATTTAAACTGCTTTCAATGTAGTCAGTCCTTCAAAATCAACTCCTCGTGTCAGTCTTACAACTGCCTACAACAACAAGTTGGTGTGTTTTGAGACGTTGGTTGGTTTTGAAGTCGTGCAAGTTACATTTCTTACAGGCTGTGCTTCCTGATGACAAACGCAAATGTGGGGCATTTTGTAACGAGATTATTGATGCTATTGACAATGATAACACTTTCACACAGCGCGTGTTCAGTCATGAAGCGACTTTTCTTGTTAGTGCTCATGTAAATAAACACAATGTTCGAATTTGGGGCTACAGAACCCACATGCAAACATTGAACATGTACGAGATTTGCCCAAAATCAATGTGTTTTTGCGCGATACCTCAATCATCTGTTTACGGCCCATTCTTCTTTGATGGAAACATCATTAATGGTCAGCAGTATCACGCTATGCTACAAAACTGGTTGTTTCCGAGGCTGCACGAAGACAACTTTATTTTTCAACGAGACGGGGTACCACTGGTGTTGCCGATTTTGTTATTATCTGAATGAAACTCTACACCAAACCATTGGATTGGTCATCAAGGAGCTGACGGCATAGCATGTCTCAGCTGGCCTCCACAGTCACCGGATTTGACACCCTGTGACTTATTCCTGTGGGGTTTCATTAAAGACAATGTTTTTGTACCACCACTCCCACAGCACCTGAAAGAGGTGAAGAACCAGATCCTTACTGCCGAACCGGATCCACGTCAGTGACAACAGACATGCTTGCCTGAGTATGGGAGGAATTTGAGTGTCGATGCGATATTATTCGTGTCGCAAATGCAGGACATATTGAACATCTGTAACATCTGTAATCTGAACTTGAGAGGTTCGTACATATGTGTGTAAAGTTTTATATTTGTATGTCATACAGTTTAATAAACATATGCATTTGAAATAGGTATATTCTTTTCGAAACACTCCGTATTATAAAATGTGTAACTTATATTTATACTTATTTTATTTTTTTAACAATTAAAATTGTAATAATTTTTCACTGTATATTCTATTTCATTTTTACTACCTTCTCCCTCTCCTTTTCATAATTCAAAACAGCCCATTTGTTAATCTTATATAGCAACTGAATCTACACATAAGTTATACAGGTTTTGAAATATGTGCCAGTTATATGTTTTGGTAATTTAAATAATTTTCCTTTAGAAAATTCAAGTAGGTGTAGAATGTTTAAATCTATTAATTATTGATTCATTAATGTAAGGATATTTCTACGTGCATTATTTATCAGTGGACTTATTTCCATGTAAACATATTCCTATGTGAGCTTTATTCCGTCTGAGCATATTTCTAAGTGAGCATTTTTCCTTGTGAGCTTTTTTATATGTGGCCATATTTCTGTGTGGGCTTTTTCCTGTGAGCATTATTCCTGTGGACTTGTTTCCTAGAACCATATATATACATAGCATGGCTAAGGTCAGCATGTATGTGTGTTTTTGCATATTAGAGGATATTTCATTTCTTATGCTAAAAATCCATATAACTTTATCTCAAAGATCTTTGAACAATAAGATTCAGTTATTACAAAAGCAATTCCAAGAACATGCCAATTAGTATATTTATCGCTATGTTCTTAAAATCATTCTGAAATTATTTAAATCCAGCAATAGGCCTGCTGGAATTGTTAGTATTCCTGGAAGTTTGTAATAGAGCCTTGAATAAGTATTCCTAGTCAGTAGCAATGGTTTTAGTAACTGTAGTTAATAGTTTTATGTAATTCATTGCTTATTTAACTTTCAAATGCACTTTATTTTTGTTCCACTCCCTCCCTTTTTTTTTTAGGTATCGAGAAATATCTGCAAAAAGTTTTAGTTGCGAGATAGACTTAATATTTATGTATATATGTTATATTTATTAAAACAAGATGTAAGCTTTATCCTAACGTTATAAGAGTTATTTTTAAGTTTATGAACCTTTTCTATCTCTCCTAGCTTCAGCTTACAAATCCTTTCCAGAATGAGTTTTTAGAAACGCATTTAAGGCAAATGAGTAGGAGTAGTAATTAAGTTGAAGTTCCACTGATTTTTGAGAGAAAATCAGAATTTCTGAATAGTGCATGCTTGCCTTTTAGCTATGTCTCTGTAATCTGTTACTACGCTCGGCTATATTACGTGCTCTTAATAGCTTCGCTAAATAATTCGATATTTAGAAGCCAACTAGTTTAGATTTATGTTAGCTTCGGCTAAACCTCATTAGTTAGTTTTATTTATTACACTTTTGAGTTCAAGCCCAAGTGGAGGTTTTGCTGTATGCCCTGAAAAAGGGGCTGGCTGTATATCTTCACTGTGAGCAATAAACATAATTAACCCTTCTTTATCTATGCTTTTATTTCTGAACTTAAGCGATTGTTCTCACTAGGTTTCTCAACCCTCAGATAATATTAAGTGATTATTCTCAATAGGTTTCTCAACACTGAGATAATATTTAAGGGAGGAACACTATAAACTTATTGAAAAATTTCTTTTCAACAATCATATTACAAGCCTTAAATTTTATGTGAGTGTGCATCATTTACTTCTCATTCTTTTTTCCAGGAGCCTAATAATCCATCTCAGAATATCATGTTTTCCATCTATTGTGGTTTTTTGGTATCGTTGTGTTATCATCTCAGTCGCAATGCCAGTGATCCTACAGTGCTATGGTATACCTTTTCCTATGCTGTTTGAATTTGTATTTCTAGTTTACTTGATGTATACACTTTAAGTGATCAGTATTTTTTATTAAGAATTTTCCTTAAGTGCAAATAACTCTTTTACTCACCTTAAGAAAGTATTTTGTCAAATATTTTATTCTCAGAACATAATTATGAAAATGATACTTGTGACATATCCATTAAACATACTTTAAGTGCACATGTAGAGTGTTACGTCGCGGCCCGCAATGACCTGGAAGTTGATTTGTCAGCACTATCCTTATCTTCAAGGCAGATGTTTTTATTTTATTCAGCTTATAATTCCTTACTAAATGTAGTATTTCATCTCAATGTACTCTATCTTTGATATGATTTAAATCAAATTCCTTGTCATTATAAATATCAGGAATACACATCAAATAATTTTCTGGTTGCAATTTTCTAGTTTCGACTATGCGTAATGTATGCTTTATGCATTCGCACGTTGAAAGAAATTTTTAATAAAGTAAACAAATAAATATAAAGCTTTTTTTTTTTTTTTTTGTAAATTTTGATACCCTTTAGATACTGATTGCTCTTTATTTCATAAATTATGGTTTCATATTTTTAATTTTATAATTTCTGCATGCCATCTTACCAGATTTAAACTCATGATCTATAATCCGGAAAAATCAATACTCCAGAATCGCCGAAGTTCCGACGAGTCCGGATTAACGACTTTTGACTGTACGTTTAAATTTCATATCTATGTTATAACACAATACATAGCATTTTTATTTACAGATAAAAAGGAACAGAATACAATAATACATAACCGAATTATGCACATGAGGATTCAGGATAACGGACGGTATAAGCTAAGCTAAAATTATCTAATTATCTATTTCAGTTAATGTTGCAGATTGCGTTGTTCCTTAATCTTCGAATTGGATCCGGCTTATTGTTTTTTGCAGACTGTTAGAGAAATTTTATAAAAGTAAGCTTGAACTATCGATTATGTCAAATAGAATTTCTGATATATATTTACTAATATGTAAAGGATCTACAAAGCGAAAGTATGTTTCGATATCCATCAAACAAAAAAGGGATAATGTCATATCCTTTGTTTCTCTAACCATTCTGAAATCTGTTTATCAATGTCATGGTGCTCTGCCGGGGGGGGGGGGGCGTCGCGGCATGCAATGAACTGGAAGTTGATCTGCCAGCACTATCCTTATCTTCAGGGCAGATGTTTTTATTTTATTCAGTTTTTAATTCCTTACTAAGTGTAGTATTTCATCTCGATGTATTCCGTCTTTGATATGATTTAAATCAAATTCCTTGTCATTATAAATATCAGGAATACACATCAAATAATTTTCTGGTTGCAATTTTCTAGTTTCGACTATGCGTAATGTATGCTTTATGCATTCGTACGTTGAAAGAAATTTTTAATAAAGTAAACAAATAAATATAAAGCTTTTTTTTTTTTTTTTTTTTTTTTTTTTTTGTAAATTTTGATACCTTTTAGATACTAATTGCTCTTTATTTCATAAATTATGGTTTCATATTTTTAATTTTATAATTTCTGCATGCCATCTTACCAGATTTAAACTGATGATCTATAATCCAGAAAAACTGATAATCCGGAATCACGAAAGTCCCGATGAGTCCGGATTAAAGGCTTTTGACTGTATATTGTTCATAATTTAATCATTGGCCATTTATTTGTTTCTATAATTTTCCAGAAAAACTGGAACAAAATGTAAAATATGAACAAAATGTAAATCTAACTTACAGGTTGTTGAAGGCTTTACTCCCCGCTCACTAAAAAATGTTTTTAAACTCTACTTTTGAAAGCATGTGTTCTGACAATTAGAAGCTCGTGAAGAATGGAAATAAATTTAAAACTTTCAGAATATTTCATACTATAGCCAAAAATTGTTTTGCCATAATATTAATGGTGATATTTTTCTTGATTGATAAAAATAAAATTTAACCTTATAAATGTATTTAACCTTTCCTCTATAATTAATTTTCACTCTAAAAAGCCAATATGGATTTAATTAGCTTTCTCTGTTCATTTTGCCAAAGCATTTTAAAAATAATTAAATTGTATTTAAAATCATAGTATGTACTGCTGCTCTGCATTGATGCAAATTTAATTTTTTTTCACTTTAGTTCTTATAGTTGATGCACATAGGCTTCTAGTAGGCTTAATATATTTTGGATAGGATGAATAAGCTATTGCATGATGTGCATGAAAGCCTTTTTTTAAATTGAATTTGCACTATTATTTAAAGTTTAAAGATTTTTTTAAGTTTTGAATTTTAATTAATTAACATTTTTCATCTTTTTAATGTTATTTATTTATTTATGTTGCTTTACTAAGGTCTCTTATAAAACGACATCTTTGGTCTGAGGATGCTCCCAAAAAAGGTAAAGAGGATGATGGTACTGAGTTAGTTGACCCATTACCATTGAAGCTTCAGAACACTGTGGTAAGTTCTATATCAACAATTTGTCATGCATTATGATGTTTTTATAGTAGCAATTACTATAAAAACCAAGTGTACTATTTAAACCAAGAGTTCCCAACCTTTTTTTGTTTCTGGACTCCCTTATGCACATGTGTAATATTCTTAAATAAAATAGTTTTTGTAAAATATTAAAAGCTAATAATTAAACAATAAAAACAATTTTAAATGAAATATTTATTTCTAGGGCATTAAACGATAATAATTAAACAACTCTATGTAGTACAAAAAAAAAAAAAAAAAAAAAAAAAAAAAGTAATTTAAGAATTTAAAAAATTTTTATTGATGAAACAAGCATATATTTATTTACATAAATTGTATACCATTTCAGGCAAAATATGCACATATATTCCAAGGGAATCCCATTAAACAGTCAGGCCCTACCAATGAGAACCTTGTGACTGTTGTTTTGACATTAGCATGTTAATATCTGGCTCATATTTTGTGAGAGTAATCTTAATATTTACTATTTATGTAATTATCTTAAACTTCAAGCTTCAGTGGTTGACTATGGAAAAGGGAATTGTTTGGTTTGAGTTTAAATAATGATTTCTTCACAGTTTTCTAAGAACAGAATTCCCCCCTCCCATTAAATAAGTTGTGGAAAGTGTGAGTATCTTCTAACCACAAATTTTTAGTCTATTTTATGACATCAATTTATTTTATTATTATTATTATTACATTATTTTATTAGCGATATTTTATCATGGGTTCCTTGTGCCCCAAAATACAATTTTGTCCTGTTGACTCCAGTTGGGAAATGCTGATTTAAACTATATTTCCAGCTATATTGTAATTAAATATATGATATTTATAACACCATATGTTACATAACTTGTATACAGTCATTTGAGATTTTAATTTTTATAATGCTCCTTCGTACTTTGTGTATGCTAAATGTAGAGAACCCTTGTGAACTAAGTAGCGACTTATCACTGAATTCAAGTATTTATGACAGAGTAGTACTCAAAGAAATAATAACAGATGACCCCTTCTCGGGCTTACAGGAAAGCCTCCTGCCTTAAGTACTCCTCCTAACTTATTTGCATGAAACACGATACTAAAAACTCATTCTAGTAGGGAATAGTAGATAGGAAATGAGAGTAGACAGTAAAGCATGTTTAAATGTAAAATAACTGTTAGAAACTTAAAGTAAGCTATACATTATGTTCTACTCTTTTTTTATTTAGTTATTTACTTTGGAAATTTGTAATACAGTACAAAGTCTGAAATCTGAACTCGTCTGGACTTCGGTGATTCCGGATTTGGGATTTTTCCAGATATTAGATCAGCAGTTTAAATCTAGTAAGATGGCATGTAGAAATTATAAAAATAAAAATATGAAATCACGATTTATGAAATAATGAAGTATTTATGATCTAAAGGGTATCAAAAATGTTTATAAAAAACTTAGTATTTATTTATTTACCTTATTAAACATTTCTTTCAATGTAAGTTGCTTCATTTTTTGTGCTAATACTTTCTCTTTAATTCTGTAGACAGACATAATCTCTTAATTAGTTACATTGTTAAAGTCCTGTAACTGCTATTTCGAGAATTCTGACTAACTTGTCATTCAAAATTTTCTCGATTTCAGTAACTTCTCTGTCACTTTCTTCACTATCAATAGCAATATTTTCTGGATCTAGAACCATACTTCAGATTTCGCCATTCATTTATTGATTGATGATTGAGAAGCATTGTCATCACAATTAAAAACTTCTTTTATATCATCTTCATTTATTACTGCTTTGCCACATTTCTTTACAAAATCCGTTAATTGGAAAATTTGTGATATCCAAAAACCTTTAAAATTAGTGGCTAACATCATCAAATTTAGCTATTCTTCATTATACATATTTGGCTATGCATCATGAGTTTCGCAACTAATGACAAGTAGTTCAGTTAAATTTTATCTTGCTTCTATCATGCACTGAGACAATTAAGCCTGAATTGTATTAGTTCAGTTATTTATTATATTTATGTCTATTTCTTTCACATGCATAAGTCTCATCAGAGTTCTGAATAAATAAATTCTCACATATACTTAAGCCTTATTGAGGGCTGGCGCTTGATATCTTACCGCCTGATGCAGTCTCTGTGGGTCCTAAATTCTGTGACTTAATGCGGCCATACGAGCCCTGGCGCTGTTTCTGCTGGGTTTATGTGAATAACAAATCAGTTATTCTTAATTCAAATAGCCCTGAATGTAATCTTTGGGTTTATGAATATCATCAGTAAAACCTATTTTTAGCATATGGATAGAAAGTTTTGCTAAATTTTTTCTTGTCAACATTCTTAGCCCATTTAACTTAAAGCTATAATCATCGCCAAGCGTAATGTCAACATAAAAGATTACCACACTCCTTTATTATTCAATTCTTACTAACATAAAAAAATTGTTTAGGCATTGCTGCATAAGTCATTACTCAATTTGTCATATTTTGATAAACATGTGGTGTTGAAAGGAAAGTATAATAAATAATGATTCGCCAGGTTGGTGTCAGATCAACGGTATACTTACGTAGAATGTTTCGGTTTGAGATGTATGCCAAATGGATATGCAGCAAAGGAGCCAAATTTCTGATCATACAAATTTAAGCTAAAATGATTGTTTCTTCAATAACAAGGTATTTTGTTTAGTGTCGAAGTGAAATTAAGAATTGGTACTCTCCAGATGTTTTGTTGTTCATGGAATGGGGAATCAAATGTGCATGCATAAAGCCTACGTGAAAAGTTGTTAATGGTTTTGAGGTCTGGATTTTAGATCATTCCGGATAATGGATGTCCAGATTTCGGACGTTGTAGTGTAGTAAACTCTTCTTCAAGATCTTGACTATTGTTTGAAATCTTGAGAATGCAATTTTCTTTTATAAATACAGGATGATTGTATTTTAATGTTCTAATTTCAGAAGGCTGTGTAAAAAGAACCACTTGTCAGAATGACCAGAAATTTGATCTGAATATACATGAAGCAGTGGGAATTTGTCTCACAGAAGGGGATAAATTGTAAAAAATGTTTACCAGTAGATGGTGCTATACTTCCATAATATGGTAATTAAAAGACATGACATGCACACCACACATTAGACGTAATAAAAACATGGAGTACTTGCAGTATCCAGTAATCAGTGTATGAGAAGTTTGTCATAGTGTAAGACATTGTTCTGGTCCAATGTCTGCATTGTCCTTTAATTTTGAGTATTGACAGAACTTTGGAGATGGAAATGTTTCTCCAGAAAATATTCCATGGCCATACATTGTCTGCTTCTGTCTGAGCAAGTAATTGCAGGGCAAAAGTTTGCTAAATTAGCAAATCATCAGGAAGCAACCCTTGAATTTGTATAGTTTTGAATAGATTGCTTTGCAGGATGTTTCATACAATTTTACAAACTATGCTGAAAGTCATGTCTACAGATCAGACAATTTTCCTTGCACTCACATTCCCCCACCACTTCTCATCTCTTCTTGCAGTGCTATAGCTACATCTTCCCCTGATGTCGGAGCAATCATTTTCCTCCCTCTTTATGCAATAATTTTTCTCATCTCATGCCAAAATGAACCAGTAACTTTTCTCATCTCCTGCCAAAATAAACCAGTCTCTAAATTTTGGAAAAATCTTCTGCAAGTCCTTTACAGACATCTAACCAGAGCTGCATTTGATACCGTTAATGTTTCTCACTCTATTAAGGCAATTAAAGTGCAGTCACGATTCGTATAAAAAGGCTTCACAAGCAGAGCCCAATAGTTCATTGATAGAGTCATGATGAGTGTCTCAGATGCAGAATAATGTGAACTGCATGCACACTGTTTTTTTTTTTTTTTTTAGTCTACTATGTGGTGCCACCCATATGGTGACTGGGTGTGAAAGAATAGTCCCAGCGTAGCCTATGCATGTAAAAAAAGGTGACTAAAATAGGTACCCAATTTCTGGGGGTAGTTCAAAGTAACCTCCCTTGGGAATTATATAAGTGAACTGTTCCTCTAGGTTGGGTATGAGGCTGACAACCTCAAACTGTAAAAAACTACATATTAAGAAATCTCAGGAAGAAAAAACTAGATGGACCTTACCCAAATGATATGGAATGAAAAAGGGCACGGAGATTGACATTCTTTGAGAGTGGAGTACTGAAAAATCTAATCGATATAAAATTGATATATTGACTGTGCAGGAGATAAAATGGTCAGGAAAGGGAAAACTAGATAAGAGAAGTTGCAGTCTGTAGCTGCCTAGATAAACAATGTCAGTTTGGTACAGGGTTGGTGGTAAATAAAAAAAAAAAATAGAGATAAAGTTACAAATTTTGAATCTATTAACAAAAGAATTTACCACAAAATGGTAGCATTATATGTGTACATGCACCTACTGAGGATTAAGAAGAACCAGAAAAAAAGAGATGTTTTATGACAAGCTAGATGAGACTTACAAAAAATGTCTATCTAATGATATAAGAATGGTGATAGGAGATTTTCATACGAAGATAGGTACAGATTATAATGTACGGAACTATATTGGAAAGCATAGTGTGCATAAAAAGTTCAATGACAGTGGAAATAAACTTTTGGACTTTGCAATTGGAGTGGAAATAGTCATCAGGAACACAAGTTTTGCATATAGTACATATATAAAAGTGCATGGTGCTCCCTAGTTGGGAATACATTGAATCAGAATGATCATGTATTGATGGACTTGAGCCATAAAAGTAACTTACATGATATTAGAAGTTATTGAGGGGCTAACATAGACTCTGACCATTATATGGTCATTCCAAAGTAAGAGGCAGGATTTCCAAGTGTTGTTATCCATAAAAAAAGGGGGGATGGTATCCTGGGCACAGATCTTAAGAACTCCTAAGATTATTAGTGTGTATAAAAATAAAATAAAGGAAAAACTTGTAATGACTGAGACTGAGAATAATGAGGATCCCAGGTGAGAAAAACTTAAGCCCTTAACATTAGAAGCAGCTAAAGAAGTGCTGCCAGTCCCTTAAAAAAAATATATGTGTGTGTGTGTGTAATGATATTTTTAAATCAATTGATTAAATTAAATTCTAATCACATTGCTTAATAATGTGTTGGTGATTCTCTACCTAAATTGTATATCTGTTCCAAAATTTTGTCGAAATCCTTTCTTTATTATATATTATATTAACTTGTTGGTGCCTGCCAAATCACCAAACTCATAAATCTGTCATATTACATAAAGTCCTTAAGAACACTCCTGATGAGAAGGTAGTGTCATCTCATGATTTCAATTAATATCGCTGATTGGATTAGCACCATGATGCACACATATCTATAAATAGAGCTTCTCGAGGTACAGGAATAACGCTTGTGAGATGGATGCTAAAATAAACGTATCACTTTATATTCTAAAATTTGTATCATTCCTGTTGCCCGGCTGCATAACATAAATAATGTATGAGATTCTACATTTCAGATATATATATATATATATATACACACACACATACATATATATATATATTTCAGATATATAAGAAATGCTGAGGATGAGTATAGAGAATACGGGAAAAAAGATTATTCGAAATGAAGAAGATTGTATATTGGAGCAGAGCTATAAAAAAAAAAAAAAAAAGAGAAACAGGCAAGGAAGTTTTATAATGCAGTAAAAAATATCAGAAAAGGTTTTTATGCTAGAATGCACTCTTGTTGTGATAAAAACAATCAACTTATTAATGACAAATTTTAAATACTTAGAAGATGGTGAGAATATTTCAAGACTGCTCTTGATGGAAAAGATATTTTGGATGAATTGGGAGAAGAATCAGGTGACCACCAACTGTGGATGATGTGGTAAGAATAATGAATAATTTAAGTAATAACAGTTCAGCATGACCGTATGGTATCAAGGTCAAGCTCTTGAATATCGAGGAGCCTAAACTGACTAAAGAAATACACTCTATTGTCTCTGTTTGGCATTTGGAAAAAATACCCATAAAATGGGAAGATAGTTCCATACAATGTTGTGGATTGTATGACCAATATATAAAAAAAGGAGATAATATGGAATGAAAGAAATGCAGAGAAATCACAATATTGAACACATCTCATAAGATATTATCAAACATTTTATCAGAATGTCTAGCTGCTTTTACAAAAACAAATAGTGGGAGAATACCAGTGTGGATTTCAAAATGGTAGATCTGTGACTGACCAAATACACAGTATTAGACAAATACTCGAAAAGACAAAGCATGAAATAGATACTTAACACCTTTATGATATGCTATGATAACTGCTTATGATAGCATTAGCAGGGAGAAACTGTTTCAGGTGATACTGGACTTAATAACTGGATAATTGATTAATCTGATAAAGATGACCCTTAGGAGAGTAAAATTGGGAAAGCTAAATTATCCAATTTCTTTTATACTGAAAAAGGACTAAAGCAAGGAGATTCTCTTTCTTGCCAGCTGTTTAATTTCATCGTTGAAAAAGCAATGAGACTAAATTTAGGGCATACAAACTCAAAAGACTACATTAATAAATTTTCTGCAGTTGTTGTCTTTTGCTGATGGCCTTGAGATCGTGGGAAGAATGAAGGTGGCAATAGTTGGGGCTTTTTGTGTGCTTGAATCGACAGTCAAAAATATTGGTGTAACCATCAAAGAAGAAAAAACTAAGTTCATGACATTTACAACAAGAAGTTAACATAAGAACATAAGTTACAAGAACATAAACAGAAAACATAACCTGATACCTGTGAAAATAAATGACTTTGTTTTTGAGCAAGTCGAACAATTTAAATATTTGGATACAATTATAAATAATAACAGTAATATAACTTCCGAAATCAAGAACCGGATTAACATGGCTAACAGATGCTATTATGGATTACAATACCAGTTTAAATCAAAATACTTAAGCAGTAAAAGTTAAAGTACTGTTGTATAAAACCTTAGTAAGTGTGTATGGTTCTGTAGTGTTGTATGGAAGTGAGTTCTAGGCAACGAATAAGTAAATGAGGATAAAGTAATGAGATTTGAATGAAAGATTTTGAGAAGAATTTTTGGAGCAGTAATGGAGTGTGGAGAATAAGATATAATTTTGAACTACAGCAAATATTTAGAGAAACAAATATAATAAAAGTTACTAAAGCCTCTCAACAAACATGTGTTGCACATGTCATGTCTTTGTTTAAAATTATGATAAGTGCAGCACCATCTACTCGTAAAATTTTGAACTATTGTTTTCCACAAATAAATTCTCATTTCTTCATGTACATTCAGGTAATTTAGACTAGTGGTTTTTGTTTTTGCAACCTTTTGAAAGTGGAACTTATAATCACCCTATATATATCATTACCTTGCACTGATTGTACAAAGATTGGAAGAGCTCCTAAAAAAATTATTTGACTTACAATGATCAGAAGTATCATCTATTACAGTGCAAGGAACTAAACTCGAGTATTTTTGAGGTTCCTTCATTCTGAAGTTTTTTACCTATATCTTTTTCTGCCATGCCTTATGATTGGCACTCTTAAAAATGTACATGGAGGTTGGTATAATGGGCTGTCACTTTTAAAAATATACATGGAGGTTGGTATAATGATCATTCATTATAACTATTTCATTACGACTATTCATACAAAATATCTCCAATTGATGCAAGTACATTAAAATATATTTCACTGTAGGGACTATTTAACCACTTGTTATAACTTCCTTGTTAATGAGTAATTATAAGAGTATCAACTGCATTAGCTAAATCATGTTACATAGATGTAAACTTGGGTTACATTAAAATTATCTTTTTAATATGCGTATGATGCATCATTTCATAAAGTAAAATTTTTAGTGTGAATGCAGTTATTTTTAGATTGCAAAAATTTAATGTATATTATACAATTTTAAATTTAAGAAAATTTAAAATTGTATAATTTACAATGTATTTTATGTTATGATATATTTATTTTACTTTTATATAGCTAACAAGACTTCTTTCTGATGCCATTCTTTGTGTTTTTATTGCTGTTTTTGTGTTTGCGATACATGTCAGCACTGTTTTTACTGTATTACAGGTATGTTAACTCTGTGCATATACATGTATGGTTTTTAAATGTTAAGTCAGTTTTTCAAAAGTTGCCATTAACTTCTGGCAGTAAATTTTTAAGGAATTTGTTAATTTTTGTTACTGTAAAATTGTATTTAAAAATTCCTTCTATTGATGAATTGTTAGCTAAAAAATTTGAAGTTTGTGTGTTAAAGATATGCTTTAACTTTCTTATATTGATATCTATATGTATTAACTTTTCTCCTTTGTTTTAGCATTGTATATCTTGCAATTATTCGTTCAGATTTTGTGCATTTTAGTATAAGTTTTAATAATTATCAATTATTATAATATTTTATTATCTGATGCTTTTCTGTTAATCTGCAAGAAGCCAAAATGTATGCAAAGATGCTGGTGACACCAACTGTGCTGAGCATTGTGTTGGACAAGGTTTTAATTCATTCTGATTTCTTGAAAAAGTAACGAGATGGATTTCAGTATTTACCTATTATCAAATGATGAAAATCCATTAATTTTTTTCAGTAAAAGAAATCAATGATCATGCCAGGAAAAGAATTACAAATTATTCACACCACAAAAAATGTCTGATATTTTTCTCCATTATTCATAAGCGTTCCCTATACTTTTAAGCAGTAATGTCTTGAATGTTTTGTTGGGTTGCAATTGCGATTTCAGGTTACATTTTGTGAGAGGATTTAAGTTCAGCAATGAGTGCTCCTTTTGGGGCGGGGGCTTGTTTTTCTGATCTGTTGCAAATATACTTGTATTATGTATAACTTGTATCATAAATTTTTCTGTTTATTTTACTATAATTAAACTTTTCAAAATATTTATTCTAAAAATTACCAAATTCTGATTTTTAACCTTTGTTTTTATAGTGTTGTAAACATTTCTGGTGGTTCTTATATTGAGAAGTCCCTGAAGTTTTGCTTATCTTTTTCAATAAATCTTTTCTTTTTTCTTTCTTTAAAATGTTTTATTTCATTTTATGGTATTTTATTTCATTTTAGGTAGGAAAATTATGCAAATATTATCATACGAATGTTATTTGAATTACTAACACCTGTTTAAAGCATATTTTTCTTTAAATTTATATTTTAATCATATACATTTTCTAACTTTTTTTCAGCCCTATCTTCAAATGGTGATTCATGTAGCTGTAACAATCTGGGGTTTTTTATTACATTATATTATACCTCAAATGAAAAAGCAGTTACCATGGCTGTGCTGTGCTCATCCAATTCTGAAAGCTCACGAATTCGATCAGTTTGAAGTGCTAGGTAAAGTGCAATTTTTAGAAGGCTGAAAGTAAACTTGTTAATATCCAAACAATCTATTACATACACATATAATGTTTGATATTTTTAAATTTATGGTGTTAGTGATTGAGGTTATCCTAAACTGAGAAAAAAAACTTTCAAAAATTGTTTGTGAAACAAAATCTTAAATTTAGATTAAGAAACTTATTTCATTGCATAAATTCTGTTTTAGAATAAACTGGTGTATTCTTAATATTTCAATACTTAAAAGCCTAGAATTAGTGTAATATTAAATAGGATTTAACTTTCTAAAACTCAATAATTTGCATATGCAAGGATCGCTTTGAAAGTAAGTTTCCCACATCAGCAAAAAATGGTGCTGCAAAAGAACTGAAACGTGAAGACACAAGCTATTTAGTTTGTAGGTATGGCTATCATATGTGGCAGTTGTAATTTCCCATTCGCTTACATTAATATTGTTGTAACGTGTAAAAATGTTGGCTTTTATTTCTTCTCCCACTGACTGTGAGGTGACGTCCATGATAAAGTTTTTTAGTACACAGAAGGTAGCACTAATCAAAATCTGTCATCAGTTGTGTTTATTATATGGAATGGATGTGATGAGCAAGCAACTGCAATAGGCCATCTGTCATCGATGATGGCCCTGTGGAGCAGATGCAGCAGTGCATTTTTTAGAACGGTCACTTTATGGTAACGGAACTCAGTAGCCATTTCCCACGGATATCACATACTATGCTGAAATCATCACGAAGAAAAACCTATTGTTTTAGAAATAGTGCACCAAGAGGGTGTAAAAGAATCTTACACCCAAACTACAAATAAAATGCTTGGGAGCAACATTAACTTTTCTGCGGTGATACCACAGTGAAGGTGATGAGTACTTCAACAAGATCATTACAGATGATGAGACATGGGTTGCTCACTTCACCCAAACAACATCTGATGTATTGCCATCACAGTGGAATTTCATGCCGGACCCAATTCAAGCAGATACCTCTATACAGAAACTGATGAGCATTGTCTTTTGAAACAGAAAATGTATTCTGCTTATTGACCTCTTGCCGAGGAGTGCCATGGTGAATGCTGAACATTACTGCGCAACACTAAAGAATTTGCGAGGAGTCATTCAGAACAAAAGATGTGGGATGCTCAGTGCTGGTGTTGCATTGCTCCGTGAAAATGTGTGCTCCTACATGGCAAATTAAAAAAAAAAAAAAAAAAAAAAAAAAAAAAAAAAAAAAAAATGCTGCAGAAGTTTTGCTGAGAGATGTTTGGCCATCCACCCTATAGTCAAGATTTTGCTCCTAGTGACTTCCACCTGGTTTTGTACCTGAAGAAATTCCTGTCTGGGTATCACTTTTCCACACATGAAGAAAAATAGACAACTGTGACATGCAGGTGGCAGACCTGTATGATGCTGGACTACAAAAACTTAACCCATAGTATGACAAGTGTTACAATTCTGGTGCTTCTTATATTGAGAAGTCCCTGAAGTTTTGCGTATCTTTTTCAATAAATCTTTTCTTTCTTTAAAATGTTTTATTTCATTTTATGGACCGTGGAAACTTACTTTCTGCATAACCCTTTTATGACAATTAAGTATATATGCATAACTATTTAAATAAACATTTATAATTTTTAATTATAATGGTATTTATAAATTCACTTTTTATTTATTATTTTTACCTGTTCAATTTATGTTATTTTATATGTCAGAGGCACAATTATAAACAAATTTGGTTAATTATTATGCTAAGTTAGTGTGTGATGTGCAGTAATAGTATACTAGTGTGCAACATAAAAGCATTCTTCATTTCAAGTTTTGATGAATGTTTTTATGTTTTAATATTGTGTACTTCATAATGTCCTTTTCTCTTCAAGGGCCCACCAGCGGCCGAGCGGTAAAGTCGCTGAACACTGGTAGTTCGGTCCGAGGTTCGAATCCCGCGAACGGGCTGGCTGCATGGGTGTTTTCGTGGTTTTCCTCATGTGTAACGTGTATACGAGCCAGTTTCCCTTAGAAAGTCCTCCATGAAGGCATCCCTCCCCTTAGGCAGATAGCCCTAGTGTGCTTTGCCATAATTAAATACACCACCACCTTTTCTCTTCAAACTGGATTTTTTTATAATTTTCTTGATTGTTATGGTTACGTTTAATAATTTTGTAATATACTTCAATTATTTTATTAAAATTTATCTGTTCTAGCATAAAAATTTAGTTACAAAAGCATTATGTAAATATAAAGTATTTTTTTAAACTTTTTTTAAGTATGTTGCATATTTAAATATTTCTGTTCACATTGTTTAGAAGCTGCTAAGATCATGTGGTTTGAAAAAGTACAAGTTTGGTTGTGGTTTGTGGAGAAAAATGCTCTTTATCCTTTGCTTTTTCTCAGTGCCTTGACAACAGATTCTCCATCTATAATTAAGAATTTTGGACTTTAGTAAGTTTGAGTATGCTCACTATCTTTTAATAGAATTACTTGTATATAAAAGATTTTTAAATGCTGTATTTTGTTATTGTATAAATGTGTAAGCTGTATGGCAAATACTTGTTTGGGGTTAATGCTTAAGGACTGATTATCTGATGTATGGTTTGTTATACGTACAATTCAAAATTAACTAAAGGGACTGTACTAAGTAATATTTTATTTTACGGCCTTAATCACATGCATGCCATCTTTTCAAGTGATGACTTTCTTATCTAACAACAACAAAAAAAAATTTGAGCGGTGGTCATTACAGTAACTGTAATGACCATCTGCACTATGCAAGGCGCTAAGAAGAGAAAAAACGGCTTAATCTTAAAGCTAAGCTGTCCTAATGACTCAACAAGGACCTTTATTAATCTTAGGGCCTGCAGTTAACAATCTGTTTTATATATGAATAATTGTTAATTAGTCAATATCTAAGGAGGAAATTTGAAAGTCATAATGGACTTAAAGTGCATTATGTGATTCATGATACAATAACTTTTGGAAAAAGTCTATGTTATCTATTTGCATTTTTTGCCTCACAAATTCATGTTATCAGTACTTGTAACATATGGCTTTAAAATTTTTTTTCAAAAGATACCTTAAATGCTGTGTGTATATTAAAACAACCATGTTGATAATATATCAGAAATTAGCATTACATCAGTAGTAGTAAATATGCAACCTGTGCACAAACAAGTGTTTGAATAATGCATACTTATCGAACTGACTGAAAAGAAAGCTGATGACAAATATGTTTATATAATTAGTGTGTAAAAGTTATGATTTCAGTATGTTTTTCCCCCATTAGAATACATTTTATTGTGGATATATTTTGTTAAAGTCTGTGGGCAACATATAACAAAGAAAAGTTTAAAATGTCAGTGAATGCTTCAGAAGTAAGACATATAGTGAATAAAGGAATAGAGCATGGATGCCATGTACTGCAGTAACTTTATTACAGAGCAGATTTCTGTAAATGCCAAATAAAGTAAAAAATTTCAAGTCCCCCCCCAACATTCTTTTAAATTTCTGTAATTATTAGATTTGTTTTAGACTGAAGTAATTTTAATACTGCCTACCATTAGCTAAGCAAGAACTTTATAAATTAAGATTGCAGGTTTTAGTGCTCAAAAATCCTGTTACTAAAATTCCATGTTGGTTTTAATGATTTGCAGCTTTCCTCTAATCATAGATGAAATAACAAGTTGCAATTGATATTTTGCCTCGTTTTGTTAGGCTTTTTAATGAGAAAATGCATCTTGAAGAAAATATTTTTAAGATATCATTTTGTATGCTGAGGATGAGCCGTACAGTAATTTAGTTTTTCTGAGAGTTGCAGCAGTATAGCAGCAGAATATTTCATGTTAACAGAAATCTATTATTTTGTTGAAATTGCATAAGGGGCAAAGAGATTCGGGAGCAACATTGATGGGTTGGATGTTCTTATGAAGGTCATACATAAGACGGAAAAGTGCAACAGATTTCTTTCTAAGCCATTTGGGTACTTCAAGAATGTCTAAACCATAATTTATTTCTATTTTTATCTGCAAGTTCTTGGAAAATACAGTCCCTGAGGGCTTTCATAGCTATTAACTTAATGAAATTGTAGCGAAGACCAGATAGTGATATCTGAAGGATAGAAGCTCCTAGTCAAGAAATCAAGCAGCCCTTTACATGAGAGCCAGTTAAAGAGATTAAAACAGAAATCAACACTTGAAGAGCAGAAGTCACTCTGTAATTAATAGCTTGAAGAGTGGTTCTGGAATCTGATGCTGATGATTGATAGATTGAAGAATGGTTCTGGACCACCTTTAAAAATTGCCCCAGTCGAGTCTGTAGTTGTAGCAGGGCTCAGTGGATGGTCACAATTTCACCATCAAGAGCAGTTGCATATGGGTCAGTGGGTGCATAAATAACTCACAATGAATGCTGCACCACCATTAGTGGAATCATATTTTGTAACCACACATATACAGTCACAAACATTCTTCTTCTGGGTAGCAGGAATTTATAGTTTTGTATATTGAGCATATTTTCATTAGTGACAGTTTTAAACATTTCTTATTCAAGTCTAAGGTGGATTGAGAAACTCTTGTTTTCTATAGGGTTACGAGATAGTAAGAATCGTTCAACTTCAAAATTTAGATCCAAATTTGAAATCACTTTATAAACTTCCTAGACAAAACCTCTTTTTATCTTCAGCTTTTGCTCAGGCCCAAATGAAATTTGAATACCAAAAGGAAAACCATCGGTAAGTTCTGATAATTATCTCCCAAAAAAGTACATCATTTTCCCGAATAGTCACACTGATAGGTCTGTTATTGGTACATATATGTGTGCAATCAGTCTTAGTTTTTTTTCACTGCACCAGTAATTAGACGCAGTGCAGGATTTGCATAAAAGCATACATTACAACAGTTGTCTCAAACTTATATTGTACACGGGCCAATGCACAATTTGAAAGTAGCTGACAAGCAGCATTTAAAAAAAGAGAGGGTTGGATTTTTTTTAACAAAACAAAATTTGGTAATTAAAAACTTTTTACTAAATAATTGTAAAAACATATAAATAAAAAAAAGAAAAGTATTGAATTTATTCAGAAAAGTTCCAGGACAATTTAAAAAAATTTTTTTTTACATCTACAGTACTGAAAAAGAACAAATGTTGTTTTCATGTTAACCTGGTAAGTATTCTTGACTTCATCTTGGCCATGTTTTCGCGCAAACTTACTAGGGTGCAGGGCTGTGCTTAGCAACACACTGTTCGGACTATTGTCACATTTATTAAGATGATGCAATGGATGCTGATTGTGAGCAAAGAGTGAATATTAAGTTCTACATTAAGCTTGGGAAAACACCTAGTGAAATGTGGAACATGATTAAGCAAGCATATGCAGGTGAGGTACTTTCAGGAAGTTGTGTTTTCGAGTGGCACAAAAGGTTTCATAAAGTTAGGGATTCAGTGCAAGACGATCCCAGAGCTAGTCGCCCATCTATAGCACATATCGACGCAAACGTGGAGCATGTAAGGCAGCTATTGCAAGAAGACCATAGTGTAACTGTGTGTATGATATCAGAAGAACTGAATTTGAATCATGATATATGTCATAAGATTTTACATGAAAATTTAGGGAAATGGAAACTTAATGCAAGAATTGTCTCTCACCCACTAACAGATAAAGAAACAGAAAGTGGAAAGACGAAAAATTTCTGCTGAACTGTTGGATAGAGCCAGATGTGATCCCATATTTGTGTCAAAGATTATTGTAATCTTTTCTTGTTTCTGTGAGTGAAAAGGTGACTGAAAGGAAAGCTTTATCAAGATTATTGCAGACATCCAACAGGCTATGACAAATGAGCTTGCATGCATCGCAGTTGAAGATTTCCATGCTTGCTTCCAAGATCTCCAAAAACATTAGCAGTTGTGTGTAGATAGAGACTAATCAAGCGGACTATTTTGATAGCAGCTGGGATCATTGCTTGGTAAATGCAATTTTCTATTCTTACGTCCTCTGTCCTGGAACTTATCTGACAAAGGATGTATTTTCAAAACAAATTGAAGGCATTCAAACAAGATGACAAATCTAAAAATTGGTATCTGCAAGAAATTTCTCTTTGTCACTATTAGGAATTCAAACTGCTAAATATTAAAATTTTCAGATTTGCATATATTCAACTAATTGCAATATATTGATTACTATGTAACATACATTTAATTTAATTAGATTTTGTAAATTAAGCTAAAAACAAATATACAAAAGCTTCCCAAGAGGAACAAAACTTGAGTATAATAACAACCTATCTCTATCTTTGATTTATTAGGTTTATCTATGTGACAAAATAGAAAAAAAAAAAAAAAAAAAATATTTATATGTAAATTAGTGTAAACATCTTTGTTTTTTACTACACTATTCAGCTCACCACCTCACGATGTTTCAATTTTCATGAAGTTTATAATCTTGGAGGGAAATTACTAAAAAGTATGATCACAAATTGTGGTTGCCCTTCGGCCGTCTGATTCTTTTCGTAGACTTATTAATTTTGAACTACTCCCCCCCCCAAAAAAAGTTACCATGTATATGTAGTCAAAAGCAAAGTGAGTATTCTTATTGCAAAAATTTGTAACTTAAGGTATTTATTTATATTTTGACAAGTACTAATAAAAGTAAATCAAATTTCTATATTAAAATCTTTGAACAAGAATTATATCACGGTGTAAATTAATTAGCTCTTTTTCTAGGTTTTCCGAAGTATTACATTTGTTTGTGATAATGAACATAGTTTAAAACTGAACTTTAAAACCATTAAAATCTTAAACATTTTCTTCAAATTATGGTCATAATAACGCTAATTAATTTATGAAAAATGTATTTGCATTTATGGTTCTTTAAAGTACTTAATTTCCATACATGGAATTGTGTATGAACCCTGTGCATATTGCAGTTGTTATAATAATATTTTTTAAATGATTAAATAATTACTTATAACATATTATTAATGAGTTTCCATCTTCCTTTTTCCTTAGCGCTGGCTCTTTGATTGTGGTAGTGTGCAGTTTCAAGTGCCTGCGCAGTGCCTTTTGTGATTCTTCTCACCATTATCTTGTGCTCATTTTTATGACACTCTTTTTCAACTTTGATTTTAATGGATATAAGGAACCATTTTTAATCAACTTTTTTGTTTTTTTAATATTTTTTAGTAAGGTAAGTTTTTGTCATGGATTATTTTAGTATGTAATTCATTAAAAAGTAGTAATAATTTTCTTCACAGCTAATTAAAGAATTTGATTATGAATATAAAGTGTGTGTCTAAAAGTGATTAAATTAATGAAATTTATAATAATTTACTATTTTATAGGTGCGATAAAGAGGTTTATAATTGTAAGTAAAATAGACAACAGTAATTACAATGTTACAGAAATCCCATCAGAAAGCAGAAAAATTTTGATTCATATTCCATTTGTGAAGTCTTGTAAAATGTTTGGTGAATAGCTCAAAAATAATGCTAAGTCAGAATATGGTGATGTTACCGCTAAAGTGCGGAAATCATTTAGTTAATCTGAAGATTAAATAAGGTGGTCCGATAAAGTGCGGGAAATTGTTTCATTTCTCAAATTACTTGGTAATATGCAAATTACCTAGATAATATGCGCATTACTTACTGGGCACTTGTTAAAGGTAGAATAAGATATTTGCTGGAACAACAGCAACATTTCTGTATGCTTAAAACTGCTTCCACTTAGACTTTTGAACTGCTTCCACTTAGACTTTGAAAGGCAGGGTTTCAGAAAATGTTACTGCAAATCTAAATGTACTTTAAATAGATGTGCTTGTCGCAAAATCCAATTGCTATGCAATTCATAGTTTCACCAATCTTTCATTTGCACTAATAAGTGAACATAATTTTATCATAGGCTTTGCAAATTCCATTTCCTTGATTGTAATAATATTTTTAACTATTTTATTCTTTTTATAATAGATTTTAATTGATTGATGGTTGATTCTATCGACCTATTTGTTGATAGTTTGATTCTATTAATTTGATTTTTCAGGTATTGAAATATAAATAAATAACATTATGTGTTAATTTAAGCATACAGAAATGTAGCTGTTGTTCCAGGAAAGATCTTAATTTCAGTTTAATGTGTACTTAATAGGCAATGTGGTGCCTGTTAGGTAATGTGGAAAGTGGAGAGAGAGGAAAAGAGAATGAGAAAAACTTTTGAACTGTAACAATATGGAAGCCGTTAATGTACACACTATTGGGGTTAAATGCGGATAACTCTTGTTTCTGCACTTTAACAGAGCAAATCAGTTAATTTGCAAATTAGCTAGGTATAGTGTACATTAATGACTTTCACAATTTAGCAATAATAATGAAGCTGTAATGTCATAGCATGATTTATGATATATATCTTTAATCTCCCCCAAAAAACAGTGTGGTAAAGCCTGTAGTTCCCAGAGCAGTCCCTTTTGATGTAGCATAAAGTTTTCAATTTGTTTTTCAAACTGCAAGAGTATTGCTTAGTAAATTGAATGATTTAAAGAACGTATTAATGATTAAATTTTGTTTTATTTTCTAAAAATATGTCTGTTTATATATCTTTAAGTACATTTAGTTTGTAATGCTTCTAATTGATAATTAGGAGCATTTGCACCACTCTTCTAATCAATAAGAAAGTATTTCTAATAATATTTCTTATTCTATGTGTCACATACTTTAAAATACTTAAGGTGAATGTTTTAGTTTCTCATCTAACAGTACTCTGATATTAGTTTCTATAGTCTTTAAACTGTGGATGTGAAATTAATATTTATTTATTGAAGTAAAGACTCTGAATACGAATATAATCATAAGTTAGTAATATATATTTATAAAAATCATAATTATAATAATAATAAATTAATTAATTATATAATTTATAAATGAATATATATTTATAATTATAAAATTATGTTATATAAATTTTGTGAAGTAAATGTTGGTTTGTATGTCATCTTGTATTGAAAGATGTTTGTTTATAAAAGAAGAGCAAATTAAGAGTTTACATTACTAAAATTATTCAATTCATTCTGGAATATATATTTAATTTATATGGCAATAATTTTATCATTTGTTATTTTAATGTCATGTTTCATGGTGGTGTTTAACTCTCCAGTTGCCTAAGGGTTTCACTAAAAAAGTCCCCTCCCAAAAAAAAAGGGCAATAAGAAAGAGGTATTTTTTTTTTTTTACTTTAATACGAAAATGCCCGTGATTCTTTACATCGAAATTTATATACTTTAAGCTATTGCCCTAATTTCTTGGATATATTTCAAGATGCATATATAAATACTTTCCTCAAGATGTCAAAAAATATTCTAGGTTATATATATATATATATCTATATATGTCCTTAACAGTCAGAGGGTTAATTATAAATTTTTGTAAGTTATATTGTTTTTATTTGAAATTTAATATCAGCTTATTTGCAGGGGAATACAGTGAATCTGTTCTTTAATTCTGTATATCATTTTAATTCAGATGCTACTTAGCACATTACAGAATTTTTTAACGCTGATAATAAGTGTGTTATTGAAAACCCAAGTCATGAGACCTGTTTTAAGAATTTAATTTTAGAAAAATTATTGGTTTTATTTTGAGCTGCTTTATTATGTGTGGGCTTGAAAGAAATTTGCTTTTTTGTGTATTTGGCATGATTTTTTTATAAAATAAGTTTTGTAATTAATGATTAGATATGTAATTAAGTTTCATTAAGCTATTTATCATTATTTGCTGTTTATTATTACTGTTTCAGTGTTATGAGTTTCTGCTGAAAGTTCGATTCATCATTATTTACATTGCACCTTGGCAAATTACATGGGGCTCTGCTTTTCATGCTTTTGCTCAGCCATTCAGTGTGCCCCGTATCCTTTTTTAATGATAATTGATATTAAATTTTTATTGTGTGAAACCTATATCTTTGTAAGAATGTGAATCTTACAAGATATAGGTATCAATGTTTTTAAGATATAGGTATTAATGTTATGATACAATAGTAATCTCTCCCTTTAAGAATTATATATAGTTTTAATAATTAACTCATTATAATAAAAAATTTTTGTGTAATAAAAAATTGAAGTGTGTGTTTCTTCCTCATTTTCTGTTAATAAGAAGATCAAGAACTTGTTTATAAATTATTAGCTATTGCTTCACTCTTAACAAATGAAAGATTCTGCTATGTTATTTGTACAAGCTGCAATATCATCCATATTATCTACTCCTCTTAGTCCTATTTTGGGTAGTGCCATCTTTTTTACATCTTACGTTCGGCCAGTGAAATTTTGGGAACGTGATTATAAGTAAGTTTTAATATTATTTTTTGTAATTTTTTCTGCTGGGATTTTAATTGTACAGTAACAATGTAATTACATTTATTTATTATTAGTATTCATCATCTAATACATCATCCAGCCTTTTTTTTAAGACTGTTCTATATTATTTGTAATATACTGTATGAAATGCTGGTCGGAGCCTAAACATCTGTGAAACTATGTAGAATTGCAGAGCAGCTGTAAAAACATAAAGTTGTAATTTTTAAAGTTATTGAAAACATTTTTATTGTTCAGAAATGAAAAGTGGGCAGTTTATGAAAAAAACTTTTGTCATTAAAAAATATAGTTTCAGAAAGATTAAAATTAAAAAGCCTTTATACTATATCCTATGGAAACCATTGCAAGCTAAATACTTTCTCATCTTTTTCTCAATTGATTCTCTATTATATGTGAAACTGAAGTTGTCAAAGGTTCATTAGATTTTTCACATTTCTTGTTAATTTTTGTGATCTTGCATAATTTAGAACAACTTGTATAAATTTGTACATTAAAAATGCTTATGATTTTTTATTTGATGGTAAAACTTCATAGACTGAGAATCGATTTGAAAATATTTCATATACAAAATTTCCTACCAACAAACTAGCAGAGGTTTGATAGTCCATTTCAAGTTCTGTTTTTGAATGGTTGCGTGATGTTTCTCTATTTTTCACACGAGTAATGTACTTATAGGGGGAATTAAAGGAGCAACTATGAAAAGTGCTATAATTCTGTTGAGGTAAGTGTAAGATAGCTTAAGATTGACATTATTATGCAATCCAGTGGAATTATCTTCTGCTACTCAGAAATATGGAAATTTTTGCTCCAGTTCTTTCAGCACATGTGGAAAGAAGTGCAAAGAGATATTTCAAATGTTTTGTTAGCAGTTGGATATTACCATGATTAAAAGTCTAAAAATTGTTTAGAAGAACAGGTAATGTATACAGACAATTAGATCAATGTTAAAAAATGCCAAATATGCTCATTTGCTTAAAAAAAATGGATAATTAATGTCAGCCTATATTGCAAGGACTATCTGCAACACTGCAGCGGGCTGCAAAGCATACCCATTTGCAGTGATGCAAAGATTATCTGGCTTGTAATGCCACTGACTAGGGTCAAGCTCTCTCTACTGATGAGTCTTGTTTATATTTGAGGAGTTATTTTCAGATGTGTTACAGTCTGGAGGAAGCAAATACACGCAATAAGCCCAAGAATATGGAAGGAATTAATGCAGAGGTGGTGGAATCATTGTATAGGTAGACATCATTTTGAATAGCCAAGACATTTTTACCAGTGCAACAATGAATGCTGAAATGTACAAAGATGAGATTCTTCATCCTACTAATCAAGTTGTTTAGGGGTGTAATCGATAATATATTCCTCCTAATGGATGATAATTCTTATACCCATCATGCTGCTCTTATCATGTATACTGATTATCTTGAGACAAAAGGATGGAATAGCAAATATTCCATCCTTACCAAATATACCAAATATTCTGCAGATTAAAATCTGATGAAACATGCATGGGGTGGGCTAGGATGATTTCTTGCATCACTACAGCTTCCACCCGGCACTCTACTAGAGCTTCAAGGTACTTTTCATTGTAAATAAACCTTTATTACTACAGGAATTACTGGGCACTCTAAAAGCCTGTTCACAGATTCACTAAGTTTTGAAAACCAGCATGAAAACCGCTATTAATTCTTTCCCTGATCTCTTTATTTATTCCCTCTCCATATTGTAACTTAATTATTATTTCTAACTCAAATTCCTCAAATTCAAAATTTGTACTTTTACCCCCTCCTTCAACCAATGCCTGAACTGTAAATATCTTCGCTTATTCTCTAGGATTGCCATTGGCCACAGGATGTTTTGAACCAGTTAGCTCCGCCCATCGACCAACCTCCATCATATCTTACACCTTCTTGATCAGTAGAGACTTTGCTGTTCTGAGGTTAGCAGTTCACCATCGTTATGCCTTAATAATTGCAGCAGCAAATTGCCATTATTTCAATGACATCGTTAGCCGAAGTAACTGAAATGCGAAGACTTGATTCTATGTAATGCATGGGAATTAATTTCTCTCATATGAACTATCATACATTATGTCAAGAAAGATATGTACATTCTTACATTGTTCTTTCTACACAGGATGTGGTTTTAAATCCAGATGCCTGACAAAACATGTACTTAGCACCTGAGTCTTGAACAGTAAACATATATTATTCAATATATATAGTATAATAAATATGCAGAATGGGTATTATTAAAAGAATTATAGAATGGGTATAGCCAGTGTGTTGGGAATACAGTTTATTCAAATCTATGTATGGTATCATGTAGAAAATTTGAGTCTTGATAATTTCTGTTGGTGAAGGAAAATGAAGAAGGAAGGAAGATGTTTAAATAATGAAGAAGTTTACAAAGACAAAGCCTAAGGATGTTGAAGAATATTGCTGAAATGGTTGATCGTTCAAAGAAGCTGCAACTATTATCTGGGCAAATTACAAATATGTAATTCAGGGATGAATCTAAAACATGACTTATATGCAAACTAATTTATCATGTAAAATTATTAACATATGATGAAGCTAAGAACTACAAAAAAGAAATGTAGTAATTACATGCAATTAAATTAATTAAACATTAATTACATTAATTAAACATTAATGTGATTTCTTAAAATTATTTATTTATTGTTTTTAAATATTTTTAGATTGTTATTAATTTCTTTTAAAAAATGTAATAGTACTCATGAGATTTTTTTGTTTCAGTTCATTGATTAATTTTTATACTATTTCATGAGGTAATTTGAATCTCCCTTCTCACATAAGATATATAGGAAATTGAACTTTTGTTGCTTGCTTAAAATTTGTTGTGGCAAGGTTTGATTGTATAGTGAAGGCTATAAAATAATAAAAATACTTTTTTAATGTATCAAATGTTAGAAAAGGAGACAGGTACCCATAGAAGGAAAAAGTAATTAATTTTTGTGGAAAATTATTGATTTTTTTTTAGCATATCGTGCAGCCAGTTTGAAGGAGGGGGAATAGGTCATAAATTCTTACTATATTGAAATCAAGTAAATTATATATTTCTGAAGTCATTCTTCATAGATGCAAAAGTAAAGCTACCATACTTAATGAAATTTTTGGTTAAGAAAAGGAGGGTGTTTGAACAAGACTCCACAACTGAATTGCATACTCTTGAATGGCTGCTAGCAAATTCATTGTTGAAATTAAAGGATTAACTTAGGATAGATCTTCAGGGCACAACAATTTTAGTTACACAATGTGTTTTAGTAAAAGTATCTGAAATTTACAATTATTTAGTGTTAATGCTCAATTTTACTAAATTTGCTAGAATATCGATGTGTTCAGGGTATTAGATTTTCCTTTGTAGAGAAAAAATATTAATTTAAATAAATTATCATTAATTAAACTAACAAATTACTTGAAAGCATTAAATAATTAACTTTATGTAATATATTCTTACAAATTTAGTTCAGCAAACTAATGATCAGGAATTTTTAATTTTTTTACTTATTTGAATAATTAAGTATACTTCATTTGCGAAAGAATTTATTATTTTGATTTTGATAATTAGTTTAAGTAGTTGAAAACATTAATTATTATTCAAATCGCTATAAGCTTTTAAGATCACGTTATTTCTTTAATTCTTAGAATTATCTATTGTACATTATAATATCAACATCATCAACAGGATGGAAATGCAAACTAAATAAAATGAAATATATTTAATGGATGTATTTATAGTAACTGTATTACCTTAATGGATTTGTATATAACAATACTTTGATTAGCATATCACAAAGCTCATTTTTCTCCTCGAAACTATGAGTATTTTTTTTTTTTCAGTCTAATTTATTTGTAAATAAATGACTTTGAGAAAATGGATTTAAAATAGATGTTTCAACAATTAATGTGATAAGTAAGTTCAGAATATGTGCTGATTGACAAACTAATTTTTCTGTGAAATAGTTAACTTTATTGTTTATTTTAACAGAAGGCTAAATCTTCTGTTTAAGGGTAAAGATAAAAAATACTGCTATGAGTAACACATTTAAAAAAAAAAAAAAAAAAAAAAAGTGAAAAACTATATTTAATTGAATTACTGTAACATTTGTGAAGCCACAAAATTGTGTTTTTTGGTTTAAATTATTGATATCAGCATAGTTTTAACTGAATGTATCATTTCATGCATTTTTCAGAAATAATTAGGTACTCTGAACCATTCTGTCTCCGTTTGATTTGTTACTAGATATTACTTTGTTACTATTTGTTACTTGATTTCAATAAATGTTCTGCAAAATTTCTTTGACTAAAATATATTTTAAGGAATGCTCATATATGATTGGGAGCGAGACCACATGATATTTCAGTCATTTTGTTTGAAAAACTGTCCAATCAACAGGTGATTGGGTAGTTTTTGTGATGCTGTTGAATACTGGGTGATTAAAAAGTAGCAGAAAAAGTAAAAATTCAGTTATTGAAAAATTATAGGCATTGACACAATGTAATTTTCATAGAAATGTACAGTGAGATATGGGATTATTTTTAGTTATGAAAAATTTTATTACCTAAATAGTTAAATTTTTCACATATAAGTTGCATTGTAATAATTGCAGAATTGCCATTTTGTACTGGGTGTGTGACGATTATTTAGGATTGTCCTAAAAATGTATCCTTACAAAATGCAACATATATAAGGCCTGATTTTGAGAAATATCACGTATTTGCAAATTGAATCTAGCAACAGAAGAAAAATAATGTGAACTAGCTGTCAAATGTATTGTCGACTGATGAGAAGTGCTTTTCATTTTAATATGAGTGTTACTACCATCTTTGAGTATTAAAGAAGCCTCTTGCAAATTTGGAGACTATTGCATCAACCTAAGTAGCAGCATTATCTTTAAGGGCATTCATTACAAGTCTTTTACCGTATATACCCGCATATAAGTCGAGATATTTTGGACAAAAAAAAAAAAAAAAGACTTCAAAGTGGTGGGTCGACTTATACGCGGGGCCATAAAAAATTAAAAGAATCGGAAATTCAAAAATTTCTTTATATAATGCAGTTGTTTTCTTCCCGCACTCAAATTGGACGACTTAATCAAATAAGTCACTTCTTGAAGTAATTTCATGACTTAAATTATGTGAAGAACTAATCACAGAGTTTCATACTTTAACTAGAGTAAGTTTTGATTAAACCAAAGAATTTTCTGCCCCCGAACAACCAATCAATATCGAGCAATAAAAAAGTTTCGCCAACACGCCAAGAAAAGAGAAATGAATATAATAGATTTTACGTACGTATAAGTCTTTATAATAGTTATTGTTCATTCATGAAATACTTTTGTTAACAGGCATACACGTTAAAATTTAAAAGTAATCTAGTAGTAAATAACAATACAGAGTTCGAGACTGAAAATATGTATGATGACGAGCCAATGACGACAGAAGAGTTCTGTGAAATTGTTTGGCGAATCTGAACATGAATCGGATGTTGAAGGATTTGGATTTTGTTTATTTACCAAGGTATTTTTTATCGTATATTTACTTTTTTTTTTCTCAGATGATTTTGAATAAATGTAGTACTTAAAAAAGTTTTTTCGAAGTTTCTCGATCGATTTCGGAAGCGGGGGGTCGACTTATACGCAGGTTTCTTATTTTCTACGAATTCTTTATGTCAAAGTGGGGGAAGGGTCGACTTATACGCGGGTATATATGGTAAATTTCACAGTGATGCATTATGAGATCATTTTATCATAGTCAAGCATTACGCAGTGCTATTTAAGAAGTGGTACATTTTCTCGTTGCAAGGGAGACAAGTATTCCATAATGCAACAGTCATAGTGATCTAGCATAGTTTCTAACCAGCACCTGCTGCAGTCATCATTTGTTGTTGATTGCATCCTTACTCGCTGTTTCCCAGAGAAAAATGGCATTATGTGTAGTGACATTTTTCAATGGGATCTTTAAAGTTGTAAGTATGCAATAGTTGGCCAAGAATTTTGGCTATATTGAAAGAAGTTGTTTGCTTTCATGATGACAGGAATTAATAGCTGAACTCTCTTTGATACTTTGGAAAATGTTATGCTGCATCTGATGTCCATTTGCATGAATAACAGCCACACTGAACATTTTAGCCCTAGTTATAATACGAACTTCTGGAAAAAAAAAAAAAAAAAATTCCCCTGTGTTACTGCACATTTCAGTAAGAAACCATGTCATGCTACTGTCTGTATTTTGCAAATTATTGAATTTTTACTATTTCTGTTACTTTTGATCACCTGATGGTTTTTCCCTTCCCTCTTTCAGTTTTCATTCATAGCATGCTTGGTAGATCACAAATTTTTCATTAAATTGAAAAAGTTATTGCTGTTTTCCCGCTTCTTTATTATTATTATTGTTTTTTTATCTCACAAGCATGTTTTTTCTGTATTATTGATAAAAAATGCAACTTTTATTATTCCAGCACAAAGAGAGTGGATCACTCAAATACACGTTTGTCATCTCAGTTAGAATGCAATCCAGGTATGCTTTTAAACAAACTAAGATAGCTATTCATTCTTTAGGAATGAAAACTTTTATGAATGATTTTTCTCAGTTTTATGAAATCTGTATGAATTTTACTTTTTATAATCAAAATTCTTAAAATAGTATTAAAGTCAAATCTATGTTTTCAAAAATCCAGTTTGCATTAGAATCATTTTCTCCTTTTTAGATTCTGAATTGTGCATTTACAGTTTTAATAATTTTAAGATCACCTTAGCTTCAAAAATTCTGATTTACATTTTCATCATGATTTTTCAGAAAATATAATGTTATTGTTATATTGTTAATATAACCTTAATGATAAAATCATGTGATTTTAGAAATTTTATCACTTTAATGTTTTGAATGTTTAATGCTTTAAGTATCACATTTAGTGATTTTTTAAAATTCAGGTTTAATATTTGAAGGAAGTAATAAATGTTTTTAGCATAATTTTTCTAATTTCTATTTAACAAAGAGAGGAGGAGCTAAATAACAAAAACAAAATAAAAGGTACAATAGATATCTTGAAATAAATTGCATTTGTATAATTTTTCATTTTCTAATGGTATTGTATTTCCTTTTGTAACTGTATACTAAAATATTTTGATTTGTGGCAATTCTTTCAGTAAAATATAAAATTCATTTAATTACTTTTTTCCTCTTTACATCTAAATTTTACCTTTATATGCTATCAATGCCATTTGCTATTTGAGATTAATTTAAGGGGGGGGAAAAATCTTCTCGGTTTTTATTTTCTTAAATTCATTCACTTGAATTTCATATGTGAAGAACAGTTAAGTTCTTCGCATACGAAATTCAAGTAAGTGAAGTTTATCAGCTAAGTTTTAAGATTTATATGTAGATATGAGAAGTTTTGAATATTAGGTAACTGACAATGTTGCTGGTATATAATTTTATGAAATTTATTTTAAGATATTTTTATAAGCTTGTGGTGATGGCGATAAGGAGCGCGCCTTGCGCCCTCCGATAAGTGTGGCAACCCTAGAGGAGAAGTTTTCTTACGAGTAGCGAGCAGAGCGAAACAGGCAGGCTGTCGGGGAGTATGCGCGATGTTCCTAAATAAAGTTTAATTTTTATTGTGCACTATGTCTTGTTAATATTTATATTAATGCAGTAAGAACACGATCTGTGATATGGAATTTGAGGCATTGGTGGTAAAACATACAGGTAACAACATGATAGGAATTTTCCATAATGGTGGTAACTTGGACTGTGCTAAATCAATCGTATGAACAGTTCTCAAGCACTTTCGGTTTTGACTACAAGGCCATCACTCAAGATCTCCAAACCAGAAGTAATGGATTACATCGTTTTTCATCCTCCGAATCACAGATGAGTAGTAATTATAGATCATTTTATAATTTCTGTTTCCTACTTATCATTTAATTTCATTTTTATTTTAATTTTTGCTTTTATTTTGGCTTAAAAACCTTGCACAATGTCTGATGTTCATGCCGTCCAAATTCCGGTTTATAACCGATCAGACCCATCTTTATGGTTTATTATGTGTGAAAGTACTTTTGCTCTTTGCCACCCCCAAACCTAGCACACAATCCATTACTAAATATAATTATGTAGTTTTGTTCTTCTCATCTTCCTCCAGATATAGCATCTCTAGTACGGGATTTACTTATGAAACCAGGCCCTATTGATCCATATGCAAAGCTTAAAACTGAGTTAATAAATCGTTCAGGAGAATCTTCTCAGCAAGAAATTCATTTGCCAATTATTATCTGGAGAAGGAATTATGTTCTTCGAAAACCTATCCGATTTGCTTAGCAATATGAAACGTCAAGCAGAATCTTTAAATGTTCCAGATAACTTAATGTTAGAATTATTCCTTCAACGTTTGCCTTCGAATGTTCAGTCTATTTTTGGCAGCGGTTTCCAATTTAACTTAACTGCAGATAAAGGCTGCAGAAATTGCCGACAGAATTTTAGAAGTAAATCCAACCCCAGGGGATTGTGCCGTTTCTCGCACAGTCGATCAGTCTCTTGAGGATAAATATTTAAACAAATAGAAATATTAAACAAACGTATTGATCGCATTTCTCTTTCTTGTGGTCGCTCGCCAAATCTCGGAGATCGCAATAAGGAAAGAAGCAATTCCAAAAGGAGAGATTATTCTGTTTGCTGGTATCATAGACGTTTTGGGAAAAAGTGTGGAGATGACAAATGTACAAAACCTTGTTCATGGCAGGGAAACGAAACCAGCAAAGAATAGAGGCGACTTATTCTTTGCCTCAAGTTTCACGTCGCCTGTTCGTTCGTGACCGTAGAACAAACCTTTCATTCTTGGTCGATACCGGCTCTGACGTGTCCTTACTTCCAGCAAATAATTCTCAAAAACGGAATTCGTCCCAACAAACACTTTTCGCTGCTAATTCTTCTACTATTCATATTTATGGTCAAAAAACACTTTCTTTGGATTTCAAATTAAGACGACAGTTTACATGGACTTTTCTTATAGCAAATGTTAGTACACCCATTCTTGGAGCAGATTTTCCCCATTTCTTTGAATTGGTCCCTGATCTCAGAAACAAATGTCTCAAAGATTTAAAAATGCATTTTAAAACCGTCGGTTGCGTGAAAAATGCAAGCATTTATTCAGTAAAAACTGTATTTAGTGATACACCATATCACAAAATTTTAAAAGAATTTCCTTCAGTTACTAGATTACCAGATCCTAACCAACCTGTTAAACACAACACCGTTCATTATATCATAACTAAAGGTCCACCTGTGGTTGCAAAACCTCGTCGGTTAGCTCCAGATCGCTTAAAAATAGCAAAACAAGAATTTCAAACTATGATGCTATTGGGGCATTTGAGACCTTCGAGCAGCAATTATGCATCCCCACTTCACATGGTTCCAAAAAAGGGAAGTCTGGAATGGAGACCTGTAGGAGATTATCGAGCATTGAACGCTCAAACAATAAAAGACAAATACCCTATTCCATGCTTAGCCGATTTTACTGCTGCATTGCACGGTACTAAAATTTTTAGTCATGTCGACCTGATTAAGGCATACCATCAATACCAATTAACCCAGCCGACATCCACAAAACCGCCATATGCACACCATTTGGTTTATTCGAAAGTAGTACCGTATGCAATTCGGCTTATCCAATGCATCCGCGACTTTTCAACGTTTTTATAGATGAAGTCACGCGGGATTTAGAAGGTGTTTACACTTTTGTCGATGACTTGCTCATAGCCTCTAAAGATTCTGAGGAACATTGCAGGCATTTGAAAGCTTTATTTTCCAAACTTCAGGAATATGGACTTTGCATAAATGTTTCAAATGCACCTTTGGTCAAACATCTATTGATTTCTTAGGTTTTTCACCTTAGTGAAAACGGAATTGAACCTCTTCCTGACAAAGTCAAATGTATTTTAGATTTTCCTCAACCTACCACTCTCACTCAGCTTCGCCGATTTTTAGGCATGTTTAACTTTTATAGATGTTTCATACCTAAAGCAGCACATATTCTTTCTCCTTTAATAAAATTGTTAGAAGGCTATATTAATAAAAAGAAATCTCGTTCTCGTGTTCAGGATTCATCCCCACAATTAAATTGGAACGAGAATGCTGAACAAGCCTTTATTGCTGCCAAAAATGCCATTGCTCAGGCTACCCTTTTGAGACACCCTATTCCCGGAGCCCAGCTAAGCATCTGGGTAGATGCCTCAGACGTCGCAATCGGCGGCACACTTATGCAGTTGTCTTCAACAACCAACATGGGGAACCTATAGCATTTTTTCTCTATGAAACTCAGTAAAAGTCAACAGAAATGGTCCGCGTATGATAGGGAATTATTTTCTATTTATTCTGCAATTAAAAAATTCCGACACATGTTAGAGGGCAGAAATTTTATAACTTATACGGATCAAAAACCGTTAATATACGCTTTTAAACAGAACCCTCATAAATGTTCACCTCGACAATTGCGCCATTTAGATTTTATTTCTCAGTACTCTCTACTGATATTAGGCATGTGCAAGGTTCAAAAAAACGTCGTTGCTGACGCTCTTTCAAGAATCGAAATTGATCCATAAGAATAACAAAATCTCCATTTTTTTGGATTTTAAATAATTTCGGAAGCTCAAAGGCATGATCCGGAGGTACAAGACCTTCTCAAAAACAACACACATCATCTTTGAAACTGGAATTTAAAACCGTGCCAATATTCTGATGGTAATATTCTTTGTGACATATCAACAGACATTCCTCGTCCATTTGTTCCAAATTCCTTTCGTAGACTCATCTTTAATCATCTGCATAATCTGTCACATCCAGGAATTGCAGCTACTACGAAGCTTATTTGTTCTCGTTATGTATGGCCCGATATGAAATGTCATATCAAAAATTGGGTGAAATCCTGTGAATCTTGCCAAAAATCGAAAATTACTAGGCATACTAAAGCACCACTGGGCACATTCTCTCTTCCTGATGCACGTTTTTCAGAAATCCATATGGATATTGTTGGACCGTTACCTCCATCAGAAGGCAAAACGTGTACCTTTTGACTCTAATAGATAGATTCTCCAGATGGCCTGAAGCCATTCCCATCCCGGATATGAAAACGGAAACCATTTGCAGAGCCATCTTCAACTGTTGGATATCTCGTTTTGGCTGCCCATCGATCATAACAACAGACCAAGGTTCTCAAATGAGATCCGCACTTTTGCAGAATTCACGCGCATTTTGGGTACGAACAGAATCACAACAACAGCCTATCATCCAATGTCAAACGGCATTGTTGAACGATTTCCATCGACATTAAATTTAAAATCTTCTCTCAAGGCTCACGAGACCAATAACTGGACTGAAACACTACCAGTTGTTATGCTTGGTATTCGGACAGCCGTAAAGGAAGATCTACAGTCATCTTGTGCTGAACTGGTGTACGGCACAACTCTCAAGCTGCCTAGTGATATGATAACGTCATCTAAATATCTCCGTATGACATACAATTTATCACGAATCTTAGGCATAGAATGCAACAGTTGAATCCAATAGCAACATCTGCATATTGCCAAGAAAAATGTTACGTAAGTGCTACCTTAAAGTCGTGTACGCATGTATACTTACGTGTCGATCGAGTAAAGCCAAGGTCCACATAAAGTTCTTTCTAGAACGGACAAAACTTTCACAATTGATATTAACGGTCTGAAATCTACTGTGTCTATAGACCGTGTGAAACCAGCCTATTTGCTTTCGGACTCTAATTTGCCTGAACTGAAAACAAATAAAGACTTAAAGACAGTTCAGCAGAATAAATCTGCAAACGAACTCTCTAAGACACAAACTGTCACCAGATCGGGAAGACATGTTCGCTTCCCTAAGAAACTTGCTTCTTACATAACAATTTAAAACCATTTTTTTTAAAATTCATATCTTAACAAATTTTTTGTTATTTCATTTTTATTATATGTGTCAATACCTTGTTATATATTGAACTGCATTTTGATCTTTTCTAATTTTATATTCTAATTTTGTAATCATGAAAAAAAAAAAATACCCGACAGTACTGATACTCTGAGATAATTTCATAACCTGATGTCGTTCCTTTGAATAGCCATTAAAGGAACTGGGGGGAAACTCTGTGGTGATGGCGATAAGGAGCGCGCCTTGCGCCCTCCGATAAGTGTGGCAACCCTAGAAGGGAAGTTTTCTTTCTTACGAGTAGCGAGCAGAGCGAAACAGGCTGGCTGTCGGGGAGTATGCGCGAATGTTCCTAAATAAAGTTTAATTTTTATTGTGCACTATGTCTTGTTAATATTTATATTAATTGCAGTATTGCAGTAAGAACATAATCTGTGATATGGAATTTGAGGATTGGTGGTAAAAACATAACAGGAAATCACCATAAGCTATAATAAGTTTATCCATTGAAATAATTTATTTTGATAACAGAAAATAAAAGTAAAAAAAAAAAAAAAAAAAAAAAAAAAAAAAAAAAAGAAAGGTTGTTTCAGATTTTAAATTACATCTAAAGAGGCATTTTTTTTGTGTGTTAGTTTTATGTATTAATTACCATGTTCTTCGCACTTAAACCATAAAATTCAGTTCAACAGCAATATAGCAAAATAATTTTAAATTGAGCATATTTCATGAATTTCCGATACACAGTCTCGCACGCTGGAGATAAAAATGTTTTTTCTGTACAACGTTGCCATTGCTTGCTTTGAAATCCTTGAGTCTAATAATCAAAAATTTGTTAAAGCTTTACAAAACATGAAATTGATAATACAACAAATTCCAAATTTTAAATTTGGGCTTCAAGGTGTTCATATTTGGTGTAGGATTACATCATTCAAAATTTAATGGCTCTAGGTACCGTTGTTTTATCACAATGCAAGAAATATACATACATTTATGATGCAGATTCTTCATTATTAAATTTCTTCAAATATAATACAAGGCAATAATATTTAGTGGAAACATTTGAAAAGTGAAACAGACATTCAGAGTGATTTGACGCAAAATCGCAAAACGAAAACAATAGTCTCTGAGGGACTAAGCAATAGAATTGAGAAGTACCTTTGCAAGAAACAATTCTCGACAAATAAAAATCAATATTTTAAGCATTACTGTTTGCTTATGAACTAGCAAAGTTATTAAACTCTAATACTATTATGTCAGTAAGAGTGAACTTCAGAATAGTTCTAGAATAGAATATGACACTTCTCTGTAGAAAAAGGATAAAGTCTATTAACGAATTTCGTAGCAGTAATAAAATTGCATATGTTTTCAAGATTTTTTTTTTTTTTTTGGTCTATGTATTTTAGAAATAACAAAATTAATAAAATTAAAAGAAAAAATCGGAACTTAAAAGATAGATTATAATTTCTTCCCTATGAAGTTCCTAGCCATTTCTTTCTTAATCAAAGTCGTAACCAAAAAGGAGTATGCGTAAAATTAAAAGAAACTTCAACTATGTATACAGACCTGAAAATAATACAAATTAGAACAATAAGCAAAAACTATGTATTAATGTTTGGTTGATGCTTCAAAAAAAAACCTGTCAAGAAAAAACGCAGGTTCATCTCTTTGCTTTTTTTTTTTTTTTTTTTTTTTAAAGATTAGTTTTAAGAATTCTTTCTCGACTTTCTTAAGAGTATTTTAGAAATACATGTATAAATAATCTATGCATATATTTCAAACAATTGTTGAAAGAAATTTATACTTATATTCGCATGTGCATAATATAAAGGCTATCATATTTATTTGTACTCGTACTGATGTGATTTCATATCTCATTAATTAAAAATTATATTTGTGATATTTTATTTTGTTATTATATTACCTATGTTTTTATAGTAATGATTTGAATGACCCTAAAGTGTGACTTTTTGTAAAGTTAAATTAAAGACTACTAAAAGGTGCTACGGTTAAAATTATAGAATATAATCAGTTAAGCTCTATCTTATCTAATGTTTAATCTATCTGAAGTTTTTAATATGCTTATTTTAATAAGGATTTTAGTAGTTTTAAGGTATCTTTATATTAATCCATAGATTTACCACATATGTTAATGTTTTAAATGATATGGATTTTGTTAATCAATTCATAATAAGATAATCATTATATTTTCATTTAAATATAAACATATAATATATCCTCTTATGGCAACCACCTCCTTGTGGATTACTGCCTCTGAAAAAGAATATTTCTGGAAAACATCTGTACTAAGCACTGTCTGTATAGAGTGAACCACCTCCTTAGAAGATCAAATTGCTTGGCGCTGTGGTTGGTCATTATACAGAAGGTTCATTGTATTATTAATAACTTTAAACATATCTTTTATTTTTGTGTTTTGCGATATTGCTAAGAAAAAGTTTCTAATTTCAGTGAGTGCTAATTTTTCTATAACCATTTCACTATGTCTCACTGTATGCTTTGCTCTTTAAGAGTTATATTTTTGTCATAAATTCTTAAAAAGGAAAAAGTCTTAATGCCAGTAATTTTTCAGGAGCTGATGACAATAATTTAAATTCAATATTTTATGAACATCTGACTCGTTCGCTGCAGCATTCCTTGTATGGTGATATAGCACTTGGAAGATGGGGTGCTGTAGCCCAAGGTGATTGCTTTGTTCTTGCGTCAGATAATCTAAATTGTCTGGTGCATGTTATCGAATTGGGAAATGGGCTTGTTACTTTTCAAGTCCGAGGCTTAGAATTCCGAGGTAAGATTTACACATAAGTTTCAGGTTCATAGAACTAGTTTTATTTTTCAATGTGTTTAAGAAATGATTTGACATCAATATAGCATGTTAGGATACTAAAAAAATATAAAAAAATAATAAAAAAAAAAGAGTTGTATTTGATAAGAAGTTAACTTGGAATTTAACTAACTTAAATCAAAGGTGAAAGACAGATCAGGGATTTGGGAAAGACTCGCAGGTGCAAGGTAGGTTTACAGCAGAAACGTTCTTAATTTAATGCTTAAAGTGTATATTAGACCTGTTTTAACCTATTGCAGCAAACCTCTTACAACATTTAGTCAAGAGGTTGTAGAGTCCAGGTGGGTTAACTTCTGTCTGGATACTGGAGTAGCAGGAAACTACACAGAAGAAGAGTTCAAACCCTTTATTAATTCTTTAAAATTTACAATGCGTCAACTCAACGCTAACAAACTTCACCTCTACTTGAGCACTAACTGAAAGTCAAATAATTGAAAATTAAAAGTTTAAATGTTTAACAAGTGATAAACTAACTTACAGGGCTCAGCGAAATCCCGAACTTCAACCCCCTTCTATGCTAGTGACAGCAAGGCAATGCAATTAAGCCACTTGAACCAGTAATAAGCAAACGTACCTATGACAGAGACGGCAGCTAGAGCCTAACTCTCCCATTCTCCTACCAAAACTCGGCTTTTAACTACTTCCTTCAACATAAAAAATTTGCATGCGTTCACATGCGCTACAACATTTAACTATTCTGGCTCTGACAATTAGAGGAATGAAGGCTTATAGATAAGTCTGAATTTAAAATGTTAGCTGAAATAAATATAAATCCCTACAAGGTAATGAATAAGCTGGAAGTTGCTCAAAATAAAATCCCGAGACTGATTACTGGTGCAGTAAAAACGACTCAAATCCAGTCTATGTGATTGCTTACCAATAATAGACTGACAGAAGAAATTTTTGAGGAAAAAGCCTTGTGTCTTTTTGAAAAATACAGGTAACACCTACTGAAAAAAATATGATTAAAAAAAAAAAAAAAAACGCTTTCTGTCAGGTTTTTTTTTTCAGAGATTCCTGACCATTAAAGAGAGATTTGGCACCTGCTACTGCTGAAATTTTTCCAAACCAAATGGACACTCAGTGTGATGGTTGTTCCGAAGACAGAATCCAATTGATCCATTTTCTCTATAAGAAAATAACAAGCGGAGTTGAAACCATTGGAGACTATGCGTACTAATTATCCCGATCAGAACTGTTGCCTATATGTACTGATGGATACCGACTTTCACAAGATTGAAGTGCTGGAGCTGGTGTCTTCTCTGACTTTGTTTGCATTCTATTTGTCCATTGTTTACTTCACCATACCATTTGATGGATAAGTGCAGGCCATTAGTTTGGCATCTCAATAACTGATTTCTAGGTGTGAGAATTCTGATAATGCTGTTACTTTATCAGATTGTAAGTTTGCAATTCATGCTATCATCTCTTTGTAACCTGCTGGCTTTCAAAGACTTAAAAATTGTATATTTAATATAAGTACAGTCAAAAGTCTTTAATCCGCACTCGTCGGGACTTCGGCAATTCCAGATTATTGATTTTTCCGGATTATAGATCATCAGTTTAAATCTGATAAGATGGCATGCAGAAACTATAAAATTAAAAATATGAAACCGTAATTTATGAAATAAAGAACAATTATGATCTAAAGGTTATCAAAATTTAAAAAAAAAAAAAAAAAAAAAAAAGCTTAATATTTGTTTATTTTATTAAACATTTCTTTCAATGTAAGTTGTTTAAGTTGCTTCGTTTTATGTGCTAATACTTTCTCTTTAATTCTATAAACAGACATAATTTCTTGTTCTCTTGTTCAGTTACAAAGTTCCACTGTTTAAGTCCTATAATTGCTCTGTCAAGAATACCGACTAATTTGACAATTGAAATTTTTTCGTTTTCAATAACCTCTGTGTCACTTTCCTCAGTATCGGAAGCGAATTATAATGACGAGGAATTTGATTTAAATCATATCAAAGGCGGAGTACATCGAGATGAAATACTACATTTAGTAAGGAATTATTAGCCAAATAAAATAAAAACATCTGCCCTGAAGATAAAGAAAGTGCTGACAGATCAACTTTCAGTTCATTGCACGATGCGACGTCTTCCCCCTTCCTTCGCGGAGCAGCTTGAAAATGATAAACAGATTTTGGAATGGTTAGAGAAACAAAGAATATGCCTTTATCCATTTTTTGCAGCAATTCGAAACATACTTTTGCTTTGTAGATTCTTTGCCAGCTCCAGCATCAGAAATTCTATTTGACATAATCAAAAATTCAAGCTTACTTTTATAAAACTGCTCTTACCGTCTGCAAAAAATAATAAGTCGGATCCAATTCAAAGATTAAGGAACAACGCAATCTGCAACATTAACTGAAATAGATACTTTTAGCTTAGCTTACACCGTCCGTTATACATTAAATGCGCATGCGTAAACGTATTATGCGCATGTGCATACGCATGCGTAAACGTATTATGCGCCTGCATAAACGCCTATGTGCATGCATGAACGCATTATGCGTTGACACATGCGCAGAAAGTTTGTAGCTTTGAGGTCCAGATTATAGATCATACCGGATTATGGGTGTCCGGATTAACGACTTTTGACTTTATATTGCAAACCTTACATAAAAAAGTTATATTTCATAGGGTTCTGGCTCACTGTGGAATATATATTTATGAAATGGCTGACTTTTCAGCCAAAAAGGGAACTAAAATCGTATACATTCCATGGAATTCTATCACTTAATTTACTACAGTTTGAGTAATAAAAGAATGCCTGAATAAAGACTTTCGATCTATGCAAGCAGATTAAATTAAGGAAAAGCATTGGAGGGAATCTCTTTTAAAGGTTCCAGCTGCCCCTAGATAAATTACTGTTGCAGCTTTTTGGTTAGAGACCAGGCATGATATCCTTGCAGGAACGTTTATTTAGATTTAACATCTTTTTGTCCCCTAACTGTGTATTATGTAGGAAAGACAGTGTTATGAATGCTTCTCATCTCAAAGAATTTTCTGAAGTGACTGGACATTTATATGTTAGATACTGGCAGGCCAGAGAGAGACTTCCAAGATCTCCAGTCTGTCTGATGTGTGTTGATGTGTAATACATGTTTTAATTTTGTTTTCTGATTTTTGTATTCTAAAGAGAGATCTAATTTTGAGGTAGAGATCTAATGGCAGGTCATATATAATTTTCATTTTAAAATCATTGCTGATTCTTTATTGCTGTTGCTGAAAAAAAGGTTTTAGGACAATTATTAACAATTGAATGTTATATTAAAATTTAATAATGAAAATTAATAAATCAGTTAGTATTTATTCTGTTTATGAACAATACGAACAATACATTCATTTATTCTCTGCTAAAACTCTGTAGATATTTATCTTTTATTTATATATCTAAAGATAATTTTTTAATGAATTATTATATACAATGCAGAACTGGCACTTCCGATAACTAATGCGTTGTATACATGATTATGAATTGTGCCAATTAAATTTGCTTGCTAAAAAGGGCCAGTTATGTGTATTTGAAATTTTTAAAAATAATAAGTGTAGAACAGTTATAGTTAATTGTTGAAAATTATGATGTGATCTTGAATACACAGAAGGTGAATTTTTTAATCATTATAATGAATAGTCGAAAATGAAGTATAGACGGAGGAATTCATTTTAAGATTGTAGTGGAAATATAATTATTATTTTTTTTTTTAAATATTCCTTTGATAGGTCAAGAGAGTATAAAATAAAGAGAGCTCATATTTTACATTAAATGTGTGTAAATAAGTTGCAAATTATATTTTTCCTTTTATTTTTTCAATAATATGTATTTAGCTTGATGTAAAATTTTAAAATTAGGTAAGAGTATTGAGTTGCTTTTTAATATTATCATCGTTATTATTATTATAGGTACATACTGTCAACAAAGAGAAGTAGAGGCAATAAATGAAGGAGTTCATGAAGATGAAGGTATTAAAATTTGATGTTTTTTTTTAATTAAATTTAATACTTTTCTGCAGTAATCACAAATTTTTGAGCTTCTGTTATTATTTAGTCGTGTCTTTAGTTTGATTTAGCTGTGAAATATTTTAGATTGCAATTGAGGCAGTGTTATAAAACTTTCATTTATAAATGTTTAATAAATCTAAATCATATTTTGGTTAGAATTATATTTTTTGTACATATTACTCTTACTTATTAACAGCATTAATCAAAATTACATGAAAAGCTAATGATGAAAACAGAAATTAATGTGTAGATAAAGACAAAATACTAAAACTGTACTTTAGTTCTTAGTTGCAGTAAATGGATGACATGAAATATGCATATTTAAAAGACAGTCTCATTTCAAAAAGGAGTAATTATATAGATGATCTAAAGATTAAATTCTAGCTTAAATTAAAAGTCTGTAATATAGATTGGTATTCTGCAAATTTGATGGGTTTCAGTTTTCATTATCTGTGAGAACAATTTATCTTAACAGTTACAGTGGCCTATTTATCAGTCAACTATATAATGCGTTAAAAAAATTTATTTATTTATTTATTTTTTCTTTTTTTAAAGCATCTCCCTCCCCTTACGTGAAACGTTTGAGACATATTTTGAAAAATTGTTAATCGGATGACCATTACAGCTAACTAAAGAGAGGCACATTTGAATCTCTATCTTAACATAATCTTCTAGCAATAGTATTTTAAATATTCTAGAAATAGTAATTGCTCCTTTTCCGTGGAAAACTGCTAGGATTGGAAATCCAACTTCTGCATTCCATCTTTTAAAGTGTCAATGTTCAGAATTTTCCTGTTGGGAATAGATTGATAAGGGAACTTTTTAAACATTTAATAATTGCATTTTGTGCAAAAGAAACATTTTTCATTTTTTTAGCTTCATGAGAAAAGGTTTTTAATAGTAGTCTCTGAACATTATCTGTGATTATCAGAATTATCTTTGATGTGTGTGTTTAGAAATTCTAACTATATTTCATATCTGTATGTTTAAAAATGTGGAAGTACCACTCCCCCCCAAAAAAAAAACAATTTTCTAATTTGCATAAGTAATTTAAACCATTGAGCACAACGTTTTGAGGCACTCCTTTTACAAATTTTTGAAGTACTTTAGTATTTGAGCTATTGAATATATAGTTCATTAATTTGCAATAATTATTCATTTTTTCTCTTTCTGGATGGGAAGACCATTATAATGGTCGTAGTATTCTCTATTTGAAAAGTGAGGATGTCCACTTTATTAATCATGTTTTTTCCCCTCCATTTTCTATAATGAAAGGATAAAGTTAAGTGTTAAAAATAGGATGCACCTGGAGATTTAGTCACAAATCTCTTTCAGTGGTCTCTGACTTTCCCTATTCATTGTTACCACATCAGAATCTGCGATAATTGTGTATGTAAATCATAAACAGCTTTGTTGCTTTAGAATATTCTACATTTTCTCAAGATTTCTTCGGAGTTACTTTTATCATTTTATAGCATTATGCCAAAAAGGAAAAGACTGAAGAAGAAATGATGAAACTTCTTCAAGGGCTCATGAAGTGTTAAATTGTGTAAATAACTCAAGGTATTGAAGACAACAACTAATTATCATATAATTTCTTCTTAACCAGTCCTTCAAAAACTGTATACTCTGTGCATTTTCCCTTCCAATTCGAACACTTTTTTTAATAAAAAAGTTACTGTAATTTTAATAATATAGTAAAAAAATTTTATGCAATAAATTACATTATCTTCTTAAGCTGTGAGATTTGAGATTAATGAAAGAAAGACGAGAATTTGCAAAAACAAAACAAAAAAGGTAGCTTTCCACTATGGTTTTCCACTGCTAAATAAGTTAGTATTTTTGGTGAATTAAGGTTCTTTTATTTATTAATAACTAAAAAATAACATTTATAGCTAATTTTCAATAAACAGTGTAAAATGCTATTCTTTCAAATATGCCTCTGTTTTCTGATTTTTAAAACTAAAAAATATATATCCAGAAACTATCTTCATAGCTTCAGTTTTATTCTGCTCATATTATTTTTTTAATGTGCTACAGCAAAAAAAGGTGTTGGTTCACCTTTGCCCTAACGCAAGGCTGGCTGAGATTTGAACACCATATCTCCCAATGCCAATTGGCATGCTATCCAATTACAACATGAAGTCATGCTGTAAGGAGGGAGAAAACGCCTTATATCCGTGATTGAAGGAAATTTGTGAATGACTTAATCCTTTGAGGGGCGGTATATAAAATAATTTAAACTGCAGTAAAATTTTGCATGAACTATAACTTATGGACCCTAAGGACAAAAAGTTGAGACTTATTAAAAATCTAAAGCGAAATCCCAAATTTTGAGAGCCCCTCTAAGACATTTTTTTTTCAGGTAGCTGCCTAAAATTTATATATAAGTATGCCTGCTGTTAATTTTTGTTTTTTAAATTAATTTTGTGTACTTTTGATGTACATCTGTAGAGATGGGTGCTTGAATATAGTTATGTAATTCTAAAGACAAAAACTTTTTAAATTTCAGTAGAAATTTAAAATTTTAAAAATAAAATTTATATTTTTATGCACTTTGATGATGCAATTTGACTGAACATACTTATGTAAAATATGGGTAAAAAGCTTTTGAACTTGATTTAAATTCAATATTATTATTTTATAAAAAAAAAATTAGTAAATTTGACACTGCATGCGTGAATCGTATCATGCTGTAACTGAACTAGTATAATATTACAAGAAGATATAACAGCCGAAAAATTTAAAAATGAAACATTGCTACTCAGGTGAGAAAGTATGTTGCATTTTTGAAGTAATATTTTATGCTTTAGATAATATGTAAAAAAAAAAAAAAAAAAAAAAAAAAAAAAAAAAACCATGGTTCATACTATGATACTAACTACTAACAATCGCCCCCCCCCCATGCACACACACTTTACGCTTTAGATTATCGAGGACCCCTTTTTTTTATTTTTTGTAAATATAGGTTGTAATATATCTTTTTGTCCAGGAAGAAACGCCATTAAACAACTTTATTATTTTATGCACCCCAAAGCTCTTATCTCGATTTTCAATCCCTTTGGCCTCCTAGGGGCTCCTTTTCAACTTTTGTATAAATTCTAGTTTGCGTCTAAAATGGGCCTTAGAAATATTTTCTCTTATTTAACCAACTGTGAAATTTTTTTGAAAAACAACCTATTTGTAACCCAACCCTAAATTTCTCTTGCATTCCCAGTCTTCCATCTAAAATTAACAAAGACGGTAAGAATAAAAGCATGCTTTCAAATTAGCAGTTTTTGTGATTACACTAAGAGATCGACCTAAAGTGCACTTCCATTTCTCATATTTTTAAGTGAGCTTTCTCTTTGTGTGATCTTATCACACCACATAAAGGGAAGAAGGCATGACTTCCGAATGACAAATCAGTTGTCAATCACTTCCCTTCATTTTCATTGGATTCTAGGATTTTGGAAAACACGAAGCAATGGGTGTCTTTTGGGACAATTGTGTAAAATTTTGACTCCAGACGGCTTCTATTTTGAAATCGGTGAATCTTTCTCTTGGGAAAGGGTGAATTGCTGAAGTTAAAAAATATAGCTAATTTAGCTAAATAGAGACGAATGAAAATCGCGCAGAGTAAAAAAGGAATGAAAAGAAACAAATATACTTGTATTCAGTTCTAGTGCAGGGTCAGTAAATTCCCCATCCCTTCATAAACATAATACAGAATCCTAAACAACTTGTAAGTTAATCATAAACAAATTATTACATCATAAACTATTATAATTTAAAGAAATGCTGTCATCTCACAGAGTAGAGAAGGACAATCCTGGTGCTGCCATCTATTGGCAAGGTACCTTCAGTAGGGGCGCCGGTATATATTATATACCAGTATTAAAAACATATACATAATCTTCTTTTAATTATCAGTTTTGATTGAAATGCAGTAAATATAAAAGGTTCAGCACATATATTTACAGATTTTGAATTTTTTCTTTCCCTCCAAAGAATTCATCAATCTTCAAAGATGATACCTTGGAATAAGGTATATTAATTTCATAACTGCAAAATATTGAGCATTCATAGGGTGTTGCTGCCATTTTTAATCGAAAGGAAACACTAGAAACTTACGATTACAGCTTTTGGTGTAGAGAAATTAGCATTTTTCCCGAGGTTAAAAAATTGACAAACAAGCAGTATATATTATATACCAGTGCCCTTCAAAGGGTTAAAAACTGTATAATTCTGAAATAAAAATAATTTCATGCTGATTTCAGTGCTAAATTTATATGCAAAATCAAATGTGCTTGGAATAACTACCATATTTTAAAAGAAAACACCTTAATGTACATGAAATTTATTGATTTTTCTTTTATAATATATTATTTTATGTTTGAGCTATTTTTCAGCACTTAATATTAAAAATACAGTTAGTGTTTATTTATAATATAGTATTTTTAAGATAATTCTTATGCAAAAAAATAATTCACCTTGAGGAGAATAATTAAGTTTATATGTATAATATAAGATTCCAATTGCATTTTTTTCAGGTTGTTGCTGTTGTCGACCAGGACATCTTCCTCATCTGCTCTCAGTTAATGCTGCTTTCAATCAGAGGTGGCTAGCTTGGGAAGTGACAGCTTCAAAATATGTAATAGAGGGTTACAGTATTTCTGATAACAGTGCTGTATCAATGTTACAAGTTTTTGATCTTAGAAAAGCCCTAATAACTTACTATGTCAAGGTAATTAAAAATATGCTTTTAATAGTCACCCATAAATTAGTTCTTATGTTGCCTGTACAAAAATGCCAAGTTACATGAATTTCATATTTGTGACTTCTATGTACAAATGTACTTTTTTAATCCTCATTCATTTTATGCTAAGTAGTTATAAGTAATTGACTTTGCTTGAGTTATTACAATACTTTTAAAGAATATGCACTTGAGCCATATTTTTAACGATTCCATTAGCTTACGTAAATTTCATTTGGAATGTCTGTCACTTTTTTAAAATTGATTTCATTGAAACAAGATCTGATATGACAAAATATACTTTTGTTAGTTAAAAGTCTACAATTTTTTAATGGAATATTATGTGTATTTTAATGCATTAAATGACAGTTTGAATGTGACTTCTAAATGGAAAAAAATAGGTAAAATTGGTAAAATTGTTGTTAGATAAAGTTGGTGTTTAGGGAAAGATAACAAACCTTTTTCTGTAAATTTCCAAATCTGATATGAAATGTTGATTTGTTTATAAACTTATTATATATTATTTAATGAATTTCTATTGCCCTTTCAGAGTATAGTCTATTATACTGTAAATAATCCTAAGCTAGAGGAATGGTTGCAATCAGAACATATTCAAGAAGCACTCAGACCAACATTGGATAAAAATTATGCTGACCTTGATCCTGTTTTTAATATGACAGTAGATGAAGACTATGATTTTAGAGCATCTGGTGTATCTAGAAATAGTTTTTGTAATGTGTATTTGGACTGGATTCAGTTTTGCATATCTAAAAATAAACTGGTAAGTGAAAAAATTAGCAACCATATATAGTTCACCACATTATCTGCCTTCTAGTGGAAAATATATTTTTGATTTCAACAGACAGATAAAAGAAGACTTTATTCTAAATTTTAATCTTTAACTCTTTCATTCAAAGCCAGGATATCTTACCAGAAATATCAATAAGCTGGGGAAAATGCTTATATAAAATGTGAACTTAGGTAAAAAGCAATCGTAGATTGGCATAGATTTTAAATGAAAGTACTTTTTAAGGTTGAAAAGTGTAAATTAATAAAATAATAATAATCGGAGAGAGAAAGCTATGAAAATATATTGTGGAATTCATTAGTTTTTATGAATGTAAAAGATTTCAAACAAATTCATGAAATGGAGGAGCTTAGTGGATACTTTTAGCAGAACAAAAATCTAAACCAATATGATTTCTTTTCTGAGTAATTTTTCATTCAATAATCATTTTGGCAGTGACATTAAATTATGAAATATCCAATATTTTGATAGTAAATAATATGCATATAGCTCACATAAAATTATCTGAATAAAAGCTACGTGCTTTTAAACAGTAACTGAAAAAACATGGCTATACTAAAATAATTCTAACTGTAAACTGCTGTGCATATGGAAAATATGACTATAAAAAGTTAAAATTGAATGTAGTCTGTGTATACTTCAACAAAATGAGTGTTATGCTTTTACAATTTTACTTGTGTATTTGCTTCAAGATGTAGCATATCTGCTAATGTTTTTGTTCTGGTTTTGCAATCGTACACATGTGCCATATTTCCTCTTGTAGTTTCTTCTTTCTGTGTTTTCCCCCAGCTGCTTTAAAATTTTCAGAACCCTGAAAATTTTTTTAATGTTCACGATTTTCTCCTTTCTCAGTGTGCTTAGAGAACAGGATCAAATAAATTTTAAGATGGATTCTTCTATGCAATGATTGTTTTTTGTCTTACTAATAAAACCCTTGTAAACCACCTGTGAAGATTATGCCAAAACTTTCTCTTCTAATGTTGAACTTTACGCTAACCTAATACGAGAACTGACCAAGCACAGCCATGCAAACACAAACTAACATTCAGTTTATGATTCTGCTGAGACAGCTGAATATTCACCTTTAATTACTTATGGATAATTTGAGGCCTAAGGAGTAGCAGAGATAGCATTAAAAACAGCCAAGATTTTAGTCACAGGGAAGTAGAAATGAAAATATTTTATTAGATATTGTAATGTTAATATTACTGTGCATTCTTACAGGAATGTAAGTTCAGACGGCAATGTTTTTGAACTGTGAAATTTTCAAACTGCATTATTTCTTACGACGATATTTTGTATCATGATCTTTTAGAGCTGCAGTGTTTTCTGCTTGCTTTCTTTTTTCTCATGATGTTTTGTCCAGTCATATTTTTGCCTTGCGCTGTTTCCTCTGCAATGTTTTGGCTGTGATATTTTCACCTGTAACCCAAAATTTATGCAAATTTGACCATTTGTCACTAAATCTCTATTTAAATTGTATACATTTGGGCTAACATTTTAATTCTTTTTTTAATTACCTCAAAAAATGCATTTTTCACTTTTTGGGGCGAACATTCCTTTGTTACATGCTGCTATGTTTGCTGGCCTATCAATATTTTAGCTGTTTTAAAAAATGCTGTTGAAAAATTAGCAAAGTTTAACATGGTTTTTAGAGTGTAAAGCTTTTTTTTTTTTTTTTTTTTAAGATACAAAATTTTTCATTTGGTGTTTCTGAATTCCATGATATTTATATATATCATATATATATATATATTTAAATATGATAATGTTGTTAATATATCAAAATTATGTTCATTTACTTAATGTTTTTTCTAATTATCTATTCCCCCAAATTAAGTTGTTCCAAAATCTATATCATTTTTCTCTGTATAATTCATTTTATGCGTTTTTTCAAAGTCTACTGATTTTTGCTCTTATAAGATGGGAGGTATCATTAACAATCTTAAAACATTGCATGCAAAAATAAATATATTTATATTAAAGAAAAATTAAATATGTAATTAACTGATAAGTTATGTAGTTTATTAAATTTATTCTTCACTAGGAGGATATTAAATATAGTCTTCCTTCTTTGAAATTATGTTTATTCTCCTCCCCACACCTATACACACTTTTATAATTAAAATACAGTTCATAAGTCAAATTGTTGTGTCTAAATTTTTTGCTGTTACATATAAGGCCATTGTTTACTTTATATTTGAAATTTTTGCCATTATTTATTTATTACTTCATATCTGAATTTTAACTTTTAATATATAGGCTATTAATTTATTTCATGTGTGAGTATGGATGTTAAAGCTGTTTATTTTTCAGAAAAGAGAAATTCAGTTTATTAATGTTTCTACATTTTTTAGACATGAGTTTAAAAAAATACTCAGTTACTGTAGCCATTAAATTATTTGAAGTCAAAATTTTTTTAATATATATATATATTATTGCATTTTTCTTTTAACATAAATTTGTGTACATGTAGATAATGTAATTTTCACATTGAAATTTCTCTTGAATTTGATTTCAGTCTATTAATAGTGCTAAAGATTCACCAATGGTGTCTTTATGCTTTGGTCTAAGTCTTTTAGCCAGGCGAGTTCTTGGAACAGCTTCACACAATTCTTTTGCTAGGTAAGTGAGTCTAGATAAATTTCCTTATATGCTATCTAGATATTATATTTAAAAGTTCATAGAGTTTGGCTTGGTTTATTTTATTTGATTATGGCAAAGCACTCGAGGGCTATCTGCCTAAGGGGAGAGATGATTTCGTGGGAAACTGGCTCTTATACACATTACACATAGGGAAAACCATGAAAACACCAAAGAAGCCAGCTAGTTCACAGGATTCAAACCTCAGACTGAGCTACCAGTGTTCAGGAACTTCACCGCTCGGCCACTGGTGGTCCTGTTAAAGTTCATAGACATGACATATATGTATATAATAATATTAAAATTCTTCACTAGTCAGGAAAAATAATATTTTTATTTAAAAAATTAATTGATGTTCTCGTACTTTTTTTATATTTATAAAGGCTTTCAATTCCTGAAGATGCTTGTAAAGATAGAGCATTAAAAAAAAAAAAAAAAAAAATTATTTAAATTTTCTTAATTCATTTAAATTGTATTTCCTTCTCTACATCGCATGCTAAATGCTTACCATGTCTTGAAATTTTTTGAAGTAATTAAACCTCTCATTGGATGAAATAAAAAGAAGTGTAACACATATTGTAATGTATAAATTAAAATAATAGTTAATGATAATATGAATTGTACAAAATTTTATTAATTAGAAACATAAAATATTTTGGGAGCTTTTTGGTGTAAATAACTTTCAGAGTCAAAATAATCATTTAAATGATGGCATTTTTAAACATATTTATGTAGTGGGGGAGTTGAAGATGCTAAATGACAATTCCAACTTTGTTTTCCACACCACAGAACATTTAATAAAGATAATCAGAAAAGGTACAAATTAGATTAAATACAAGTGCCGTTTGATACAAAGAGGATTCTGTATAGCTTTTACCAGTCTTATCACATAACCGATTAGTGCCTACTCGCATTTGCTGATGTATTAAACAGTCCAATTTACCACCTTCGCGTGGAAAACTACAGTTCCTTATTCTACACCTTCACGTGCAGACAGACATCTCACCACCTTCACGTGGGATAGCAGAAGAGTCTCTGTCATACTCCTCTTTCACCTCGCTGCTGGCGCATCGGTGAGGCCCTCAGGTGGTTGTGTCGCACTTACAGATACTACAGTTCGGCCTTCCTGACGCTTTTTTGTCCTCGAAAACACGGATCAGCAACACTGGAACATCAAGACAGCACCTGAAAATAAATTTAAAAAAAAAAAAAAAGAGAGAGAGAGAGAGAAAAAGAAAAAAGGGGGAAAAAAAAAGAAAAAAGAAAGAAGTGTGGAAGAACCACACATAGTTTTATATAGTAGAAGTCCACGGCTTCATGAAATCAGCTGCTGTAGTGGTACATCCAGGACCTTCATGGTGTCCTACTTTTTCCACCTGGTAACGATCTTTGCCTTTCCTCGCTGTTACACGATATGGACCGAAGAACTTTGGCCTTAACTTTAGACCACCTCCATACTGCGTTCTTTGTATGGCAACTAAGTCGTTCACATTGTATACTTGTGCCTCTTTTCTCTTCTTGTTGTATGTTTTTCTATTCTCTTCCTGGATTTTTAGAATGTTTTTCCTTGCTTCCTCCCTCATATCTTCTCGATCTTTCATCATAGTATTTCTTTCTTCTTCTTCAAGAATTTCCATAATCTTTAAGTCTTCTCGATTTCTCATTTTAACACCAGTGAGAAGCTCAAATGGAGAACTCTTTGTGCTTCTGCTCTTAGTGCTGTTTAAGATCCTTTGTACATCTCCAACATTATTTGTACCACTTGGTTGGAATCATCTATGGATAATTTGGATAGGGACTGGAATCAGAAGTGAGATGAAACTTCTTTCCACTTGTCCATTTCCTCTAGGAATGCCTGTAGTTGAAAAAATATGTATATGTGCTGGATCGTCTCTTGACTACAGTAATCTTCAAAGTCTTTAGAGGTAAACATGCCATACCTTTATCACTTATCATTCTCAAAGGATTACCGAAAAATTGATTGTTGCAGTTTCAAGCTCCTGCAATGCCTCTTGAGCTGATGTAGACTTTACTGGATAGAGCCATACGAACTTTGTGAATGCATCAACCACAGTTAAGATGTGATTGTAGTTCTTATTTGTCGACGGTAATGGTCCTATAAAATCGATATGAAAAGTGCTCAAAGGGATACTATCTTTTGGTATGGAATTCAGCAACCCTTCGCTCTTACCTCGTTTTCTGTCGCACAAAATACATTCTACACAATTTGAAATAACCTGCTCAATTCATTTTCTAAGATTAGGAATATAAAAGTCGTTTTTTTAGCAGATCTTCTGTTTTAGACACTGCAAAATGTCCCTTGTTGTGGATACTACGTATGATTTCTAGCTCTAATACTTCGGGTACCACAAGTAACTCATGACCACTGTCGAACTTGTATAATATTCCATTTTTCACTAGAAAATCTTTCTTTAGTCCTTGCTCGACTAAGGGTTTTAGCAACTGGAGACGCTCATCACTTCTTTGCGCAGCTGCAATTTTGGCTGTAATTTCTCCCTGAGAAGAAGTAACCATCATGACCGCGTTTCTACTTAAGGAATCCACATGCTTCATTTGTTGCCCAGATTTGTGAACAATTTCATAGTCAAATTCTTCTAGAAGTAACGCCCATCTCGCCACTTTAGGAGTTAAATCCTTCTTAAACATGGTCTTCTGGAAAGCATCGCAATCCGTAATCTATCCTGACCTTAGATCCTAAAAGGTAATTCCTGAATTTCTTTAGAGCTTCTACTATAGCTAAAACTTCAAGCTCATAACTAGATAGCTTCTCTTGTTGGAGATTAGTTCTTTTACTCATGAAGTAAATGGGGTATAACTGTCCATCATCTGACTTTTGTAAGCAATACAAGCGCCGAAACCATGACTGCTTGCATCTGTATGCAATTCTAATGGTGCTACTCCTTGTTTAAAAATATAAAGAACCGGACTTGTCGATAAAAGTTCTTTCAATTTATTAAATGCATCTTTTGTTCAGGCCCAAATTTGAATTCTGCTCCGTTACGAAGAAGATCACTTAGTGGTTTCGCTATTTTTGAATAATTGGCAATAAATTTCCTAAAATACCCAGTAAGGCCCAAGAAACTTTGAATCTGCTTAAGGTTTTTGGGTTCCGGGAAATTTTGAACAGCCCTGGTTTTTTCAGTAGAGGGGCGAATTGTACCATCCTCAATAACATACCCGGAAATTCTATTTTTCTTTTCAAAGATTGGCATTTGTTAAAATTAATCTCCAAACCATATTCTTTGGCTACTTCTAAAACGCGTTTCAACTTTTCTAAGCCTTTTTTCTCATTTCGTGCTGGAATAATAAAATCGTCCATGTAAGTAACAACAGTGTCATCTCGAATTAAATCTCTAAACGCATTATAAATAAATCTTTGAAACACACTAGGGGACGTGCACAAACCAAAAGGTGCTTTTAGAAATTCATACAAGCCTGCATGAGTAATAAATGCCAAATATTTAGTGCAGTTTTCCTCAACTGGAACATGAAAAAAACCTTTCTTTAAGTCTAATGTCGAAAAACCTTTGCTTCACCCAAACGATCTAAAACTTCTTCTACTTGTGCCATAGGAAAAGAATCCTTAACTATTTTTTTATTTAATTGCCTGAAGTCAACACAAATCCTCTTGCCCGATTTTTTTCTACACAAAACAATTGGCGAAGCATATTCTGACACGACGGCTTTATAATCCCATCCTTTAACCATTCATCTATTTGATTATCAACAATTTTTTGATCAGCAAAAGGAATTCTCCTCGAACGCTGAGAAACTGGAATATCATCTTTTAATATTACTTTCATTTTTAAGTCTGTACTGCGTGGCTTTTCTAACGGTTTATACTCATTAATAAGAGTGGAAACAGTATTGCATAATCCTTCATCTTTAATATGCCATGAATCTGTTTCGCTGTCTGCCTCAATGGCTGCAGAAATAAAAGACAAAAAATTCCTTTCCGAAGAGACGGAATCATTTTCATATTGCGTATTCATCATTTGGTCACAACAGATCATTTTTAGACAGGAAGGGGGGAAAATACAGTCTGTTATCAATTCATCAACTATCGCTGCTTCAGTCTCTTTTTGTTTTTTGCTTTCGCATAAAGAAAAAATAAACTTAGCCGTTTCCGCTTTAACCACGTGACCAAACGAACTTTTGAGCTCGATACATCCACTTGATAATTTATTCGGAAAAGGGATTTCTTTACAACTATCAATTCACTTCCAGAATCTATTAAACATTTTACTTTTTTACCATCAATCAACAGTTCAATAAATTCTAGCTTATTTCTAGCTGCATTGTCCGAGTCAATCTCTAACCCAGATATCTTTTTTGGAGACAAACTTTCCTCCTTTCCTAACCATTTGGGACAATTTCTAGCAAAATGAAATAATTCCCCTTTACTCCCACAAACATAGCAAATACGTTCTGGTTTACTACTACCCTGATTTACAAACTTCCCTGAATCCTTGAAATTGCTCTGAGCTTTTCGAAGATTGTTTTTGAAAAAATTAAGCTTTTTATTTTCTGGAGTTTCAATTCGTGTGTTATGGTATCAACTAAAGATTTACCCTAGATGAATAAAATAAATCACATCTCTTCCATTGATAGGTGGGAACCACTTGACCCTCCCGAACACTAATTTCCTTGTTTTAGAATCAAGAGTTTCATAATATCATACAATAGATCACACAATTCTTAAGTCTACCTCTTAACTTCAATAATACACTCATGTTTGTGAAATTGAACACCATGAAGGACTTACGCGAGTGAGCTGAAATTTTCAGGAAATGCAAAGTAGCGCATGATATGCAAATGATTATTAGAATTGCAAATCCGTAGCGCATGCGTATGCTGAGCAGCGCCCTCTGAACGGCTGATGGATCCGAATAAATAGACGGCTGTAGCGAGGCGTGTATGGTTATCGGTGGTTATCTGCTAGTGGTAAACGTTAACTCAATCTGTACTTATGCCTCGTCGACGAAAGAGAGCGAGATTTGAACAACTTACAGAGTTTGAACGAGGGAGAATCATCGGCCTTCGTGAAGCTGGATTGTCGTATCGTGCAGTAGCCTCTCGTGTGCAGCGTAACAGCAGCACAGTGATGCGCGTTTGGAAGCAGTGGACGGACGAGTGTCGGACAACTCGGAAATCCGGGAGTGGACCCCGAAATGTGACGTCAGCTCGCGATGATAGACACCTGGTCCGCATGGCGCGGACGGACCGTACAGCTTCCTCTAGACAATTGGCAGCACTGTGGTCAATAGCTACAGGTGTTTCATTGTGTGCTTCATCAATTCGTAGACGTCTGCTGCAGTGTGGACTGCGCGCACGGACTCCTTTATACAGGATCCCCCTAACGCACGACCATCGCCGCCTGCGGCTACAATGGGCCAATCAGCATAGAGACTGGCGTGCTGATTGGCAGCATGTCGTGTTTTCTGACGAATCCCGCTTTAATTTGTGGTACCATGATGGCCGCATTCGTGTCAGACGCTATGCCGGTGAACGCCACCTTCCGGAGTGCATTATCGAACGCCACAGTGGACGAACACCCGGAGTTATGGTCTGGGGCGCCATAGCATATCATAGACGATCTCAATTGCTACGAATTGTGGGCAATCTGAACAGCAACCGGTATATCCGTGAAGTTCTACAGCCCGAAGCTGTTCCCTTCCTTCAAAGCTTGCCAGGCGCTGTATTTCAACAGGACAATGCCCGCCCTCATACTGCTCGGATTGTTAAATCCTTCTTTGCAGCGCAGCAGGTACAGCTTCTTCCTTGGCCTGCGTGTTCCCCGGATATGTCGCCAATTGAACATGTGTGGGATGTCATTGGTCGGCGTCTTGCTCGTGATCCTCGTCCTGTTGCGTCTGCAGACGAACTTTGGGTACGCGTACAAACGATATGGAATGCTCTTCCTCAGTCAGACATTCAAACTTTGTTTGACTCCATGCCACGTCGTGTAGCAGCACTTATTGCGGCGCGTGGTGGCCACACAAAATACTGATTCTGATCTCTTGTTCTTGTTTGTTTGCTTTGAACATTTAATCATTTATTTGTACCACTACCACTCAACTGTGTATTAAATTGCATTCAATTATGACGATTCCTTCTTGGTGTTGCAATTTTCACAAACGTGAGTGTAATTGAAAGTTGCACTGAGTCGAGACGCGAACTGAACATGCGATTCAGATAAATGTCTCTGCGCATTTTTTAAAATTGTTCAAACACTCACGCGGTGTTGGCTGAAATTCTTTCAAGATTAGAGTTTTTAATTTATCATAATCCGCGATTTCTTGTTCAGAAACATACGTTAGAACATTATTACATTTATCACCTAACAAATTAATCAACACTTCTGATTTTAACTCCACTGGTACACTTTTAGTAGTAAAAGCTTTCTCAAGTGACTGAAAAACAAATGCATAGCTTCCGGTTTCTGAGGTACAGCTATAGTTAGTGTTTTGATGCTTTTAATAATATCTTCAACACTAGTCTGCGCGTTTCTTCTATCACTCGATAATGATTGTGATTTTAAACTTTCTAATTCAATCTGCTTCTCAATTTGAGCTAATTTAAGACGTTCGATCTCTAAAAGATAGTGTTCATTACTTGTTTTAGGCGTCCGATCCTCTGCGATCGACTTGACGACACCACGAACAAATTCAGCGTTCGTTTTGAAAACATCAGAATTTTCAATAATTTTTGTAATGTCAGCTTTTTTAGCATTTTCTGGAACAGTCTGTCCAATTTGTTCCGCAATTACTATTAAATCACTTTTCTTTAAATTATTTAGGAAACTCATTTTAAAAACGAAACAAAAGTATCACTATCTTCAAGAAAGAAATAAAGCAAAGTTTTCACTGTACCTTCTCTGAAGTATCCAAATATCCAAATATTCCGGACAGGCCCCCATATTTTCTGTAGTGGGGGAGTTGAAGATGCTAAATGACAATTCCAACTTTGTTTTCCACACCACAGAACATTTAATAAAGATAATCAGAAAAGGTACAAATTAGATTAAATACAAGTGCCGTTTGATACAAAGAGGATTCTGTATAGCTTTTACCAGTCTTATCACATAACCGATTAGTGCCTACTCGCATTTGCTGATGTATTAAACAGTCCAATTTACCACCTTCGCGTGGAAAACTACAGTTCCTTATTCTACACCTTCACGTGCAGCTCACCACCTTCGCGTGGGATAACACAAGAGTCTCTCTGTCTATGTCATACTCATCTTTCACCTCGCTGCTGGCGCATCGGTGAGGCCCTCTGGTGGTTGTGTCGCACTTACAGATACTACATTTATATCCTGCATCTTGTATTTTGAATTAATGCACCCATCATCAGATTTGTGCTTGAGATTAAGTGGACATGGAAGTCATGCATTTTTTTGCAGTGTATTAACTTGCTGTCAAAGATATTTTAAACAATAACTCCTCTTAAAAAGCTTCTTATTTCTTGCATTCAGTTATTAAAATCTGTGTAACAGCATTACAGGTTATCTTAATCTTTCATTTTAACACTTGTGTACTATTAAAAAAATTGGGCAATATCTGATATTAATTGATGATTTTTTTAATGTGCTGATTAAAATCATTGACACCCTAATTATATGTAGTTTTAAATTTTATACAACAAAGAGACAAAACATGCAGGCTTTTCAGATGCACTATACTTGAAAGTTGTATTAAAAAAAATTCTATTAAAAATTAAGAAGTTAAAAAAAATGAACAAAATTTTTAAGATTTTTTCATCAAATAAATATTTATATTTTTTTATTTCATATTTGTAATTTAATATTTATAATTTATTTTTGTGTTGTAAATACACTTTTTACCATCTTTCATGATTAAAATATTTTATTTTCAGTGTGGATTTCCTGTTATATGGTCTGCATGCATTATTTAAAGGAGATTTTCGAATTACATCAGTCAGAGATGAGTGGGTATTTCAAGATATGGACCTTTTGAGAAGAGTTATTGCCCCAAGTGTTCGCATGGCTTTAAAATTACACCAAGTATCTTTCATTATTTTTTTAAATCAAATTCTCGTAATTTAGATTTTATATGTAACTTAATATATACATTTATTAATTTTATATAATTTGAACAGTGTAATTGGAAATGTATAAATATGTTATAACGTTCAGCTTGGATGCCAAATTTGAGTATAGTTTTAAGTTTTCCATATTATTAAGGCCCTGAATAATTAAGCAGTGCCAAGCACCTTCTTTTTAATGGGCTGCATCCAGATGTCTTAACTGAAGTCATAAGATTTGGAGAGTTGGGTGATTGCAGAAGTATGTGCCTGTTCTAAGAACAGAGAACAAGCACTCATATCTGATGAATTTATTCACAATCATTTTCTACTGTTGTTAGTCCAAAGGGGCAGTTTGTCTTGAAGGACTATTAATTTCGTTTTGGCATTTTGTGTTGGTTCACTATAAATGTCAGTTAACTTTTCTAATTGTTGCCACCAAATATTATCACCCTGTGTTATATTTAAAGACATTAAATAATCAAGAATTTCCATAAATGTATGTATGTTTCTTGCATTGGGATAAAACAATGGTACCTACAGCCATCAAATCTTCAATAACGTAATCTTCTACCGAATATGGTCATCTGGAAGCCCAAATTTGGAATTTAAAATTTGTTTTATTACTAATTTTATATATTGTAACACTTTAACAAATTTTAGATTAACAAACTCAAGGATTTCAAAGTGAGCAGTGGCAGCACTGTACACACACACACACACACACACACACAAAAAAAAAAAAAGATCTGTATCGGAAATTTTAAAGCTTTGTTCATTTTAAAATTATTTTGTGACATTGCTGCTGAATTGAATTTTATGGTTTAAATGCAAAAAACATGATATTTAATACGAGGGCTATCCAGAAAGTAGATTACATTTTGGAATAAAAAAATAAACAAAGTATAGGAAACAAATTTTATTATATACAGATGAAAGCCACACTCAAATACTACTTTTCTACATAGTCACCATACAAATTAAGGTATTTATCGTAGCGATGTATGAGCTTGGAAATTCCTTCGTCGAAAAATTCGGCCGCCTGCGCCTTCAACCACTTCGTTACCTCTTCTTGCAGCTGTGCGTCGTCATCAAAACGCTGCATAGCCAGCCACTTCTTCATTGCTGGGAATAGGTGGAAGTCGCTCGGTGCCAGGTCGGGACTGTACGGCGGATGAGGAAACAACTCCCACTTAAAAGATTCAAGAACTTTACGAGTGACATTTGCCGTGTGGGGCCTTGCGTTGTCGTGAATCAACAAGATCTTAGAGCTCAACATTCCTCTGCGCTTGTTTTGAATTGCTCTTCTGAGTTTTTGGAGAGTTTGGCAATACCTTTGAGAGTTTATTGTAGTGCCTCTTTCCAGGAAGTCCACCAAAATTACACCTTTTCTGTCCCAAAAAACAGTCGCCATCATCTTCCTTGCCGACATTGTTTGCATGCATTTCTTGGGTTTTTGGGGAGAACTTGTGTGCCCCCACTGCAATTGATTGCAATTTCGTTTCACAGTTCACATGTTTCACCCATGTTTCGTCACAGTAACGATGCGATCGAGTAAAGAGTCACCATCCTTATGGTAAGCGTCCAAAAAGTTCAACGCTGCAGCCATTCGCTGATTTTTGTGGGTCCTCTGTCAAGATTTTTGGAATCCATCTTGCACAAAACTTGTGGTAACCAAGCTTTTCGCTGATGATTTCGTGCAACAAACTTCGCGAAATTTGTGTGGAAAACTCAAAGAAAGTTCCGTTATTGTGAAATTTCGATTTTCACGGACTTTAGCATCGACTTTTTCGAGAAGTTCGGCGGTCACTATGCTGGGTCTCCCACTTCGATCTTCGTCGTGAACATTGGTTCGGCCATTTTGAAATCTTATGACCCACTGACGCACTCCACCTTCAGTGATAATGTTTTGTCCCCATACACTTCACGAAGCTGCCGATAGATTTGTATCGGTTTACAGTTTTTTGCAGTCAGAAACCTTATTACTGAGCGCACCTCGCAGCTCGCGGGATTTTCAATTAACGCAGACATTTCAAACCGTCACAGTATCTGAACGGAGCACAGCACGAACCTCTCACTAGCACGGCTAGATGCAGACTGAGCTGCGCAACGCTCTGACCCCAAGATGGCCGCGCTAGCCCCGCCCCTAGCGGACACAGACGGAAACGTAATCTACTTCCTGGATGGCCCTCGTAAATACATGATATTTAATAAACATGATATTTAATAAATAAAAGTAACACACAAAATGTTAAAGAAATGTCCCTTTGAGCATAATGTAAAATCTGAAAGCTTTCAGATTTGTTTTAAATGTTATTTTTTTGCCCCTTGTATTTTACCAATTTTTTGTGTTCTTTCTTCGTAGAAACTGATTTTTCTTCAAAAGAGATCCTAAAATAGTTTTTAACAGCTTCCATTAAATTCAACTTCTTGCCATTCACGTTATTTTATAGAGAACAAAATATGTAAATCTGTGGAGTGAAAACATCAGGAAGATTAGGTGGCTATTACAGGACTACTTATTTGAAATCCTTGAATTTTTATACATGGCATGAGCACTGTGCAGCCTACCATTGTGCAGTAGAATAATGCCCTTTCAAGTTTCTAATACCACTTTTTTTTTTTTTTTTTTTTTCTTCAAAATTTCCTTATTGTGTTTGGTAATTTGCTTGTGTTTAGTACTTGTTCACAATGATTGTTTTACTGGATTGAAGTAATTCAGATAAAAAGACTTCCATGTAATTTCAGCTAATAGACAATAATACTTTCACCACCTGAAAGGCAGCTTTTGTAAGCTTATACTCTGAAATTTCATTTGTTCATTTTCAGCTCCTTTCAGCATGTTCTTATGCTCCTTTATGACCTGATCTGCAAATTGCTGTTTTTCATAACATGCAAAATTAGAAATATTGTCCAACTTTTATCGTCAAACAGTGTGACACACAATATATTAACCTTGGAAGTTTATCTAATTTTCTATAAATGGGGTAATTCTAGTGATTTATCAATCTCAAGCCTGTCTGTAATCTTCTCACTTGCAATTCTTGAACTCTTTTCACTTAAGCACATATGATATTGTTATTTTTGTTGGGAAAGTTTCCCAGAACAGGACTTAAATTATATTCACTATTTTGAAGTTTGCGCCACTTAATGGTACTAAGATCAGAATTGCATTCCAAATATATGTCTCAAATGTTTTTGTAGTAGTTCTAAAACTCATTTCTATCTCAAATTCATGTACCATGTCATGGATGCAACGTTTTGTTCTTCATTTTAGTCAAATCTTTTCATGCATAAGTTAATTCTACTTTAAAGTGGCTTCATATACTTCTATTTATTTATTCATTGATATTATCTCATAGCTGTGAAATAAACACCATTGTGGCCACACTTCCTTCACCCATGGAAATCATTCATGTAATTTTGAAGCTATCCACTAAAAGAAATATAATAAACTGAAACATTGAAAAGTACACAGTTCAGTGAAATATGGACAGTAATAAGTTGTAGAGTATCTGACTATTTTATTTATTGTATATAGAATAATCTTATCAGAAGCAAAGTGACTTTATAGTAAATTACAATTAAAGCATATTTAAATTGTCATGATAGCCTTATGTGAAAATATAATTCCTCTTATCTGTCTTTTATAAAATATAGTTCTCCAAGCATAAACTACTATTTACATAGCATACAAGCATAAACTACCTAATGAATAAACAAGTTTTAGCTTATAAAAAACTTAAACTTGCTTATTCATTAGGTAGCATATAAAAACTATCATATTTGATTCACCTCTAAGCTCTAACCTTCAAATCAGAGTGTAATTCAAATTTCTTGTGTTTTGTGAAAATTCATTTCAAAGATAATTTAATGTTCAAAAATTCTGTTCTGTTAAAATATTTATATAGGAAGCCACCTTTTAAAACCAAAAGTACATTTAACCCGGGAGAGGTCGCGCAGGGCACAGAGTCACCCCATGCGTCACAAATCAACAATCCTAACCGGAAATATTTCATTTTAATGAATCATCCTTCTAGTATCCTCCTGTTTGATGCTCTCCTTGGAATGTGTATTGTTATTTTTGCTTGTGTTTCTTTTCTGCGAGAGAAGCAATCGTTTCTTGGAATCCATAAGCGAATGGGGTGACTCGGTCACCCCGTGCGACCGTTACTGCTTCGAAACTTTTCATTAGTAGCAGTATAGCTTCGTGCTCTCGAGTGTTGCCATTGCTGGTCTGTTGGATTATTTGATAGATAATGGCTTACAAACGTAAATTTACCAAATATGGAAACATTGGATGAACTCTGTTAGATGAAGTTGTGTCTTCTGAAGAAGAAATTGATCAATATATTAAAAATGAATCTGATGAAGAAATATACAGTTATCATGACAGCGAAAGTGAATTTGAGCATACTTTTTTGTATAAGGAAGAAGAATGAAGACGACGGAAATCCTGATTTAGTAAAATTATTTTTATTAGCAAAAATAACAGTTTGGCAGAAAGGAAAACCAAATCAAAAAGTGAAAACGTCTTCTCAAATTATAATAACTCATTTACCAGGATAAAAGGAACTGCACGCAATATAAAAAAGCCTGTAGAGAGTTGGGAATTGTTTTTCAATGCTAAAATGATACGATCCATTGTAGAGTGTAGAAATATTATATTGAAAAAATATCGATAAATTACACCAGAGATCGGGATGCCAAAATGACAAATGATGTGGAAATTAGAGCACTTTTATATCCGTGCGGCTTGCATAAATCGTCACGTACAAATGGGGCCCACCAGCAGCCGAGCGGTAAAGTCGCTGAACACTGGTAGTTCGGTCCGAGGTTCGAATCCCACGAACAGGCTGGCTGCATAGGCGTTTTCGTGGTTTTCCCCATGTGTAACGTGTATACGAGCCAGTTTCCCTTAGAAAGTCCTCCACGAAGGCATCCCTCCTCTTAGGCAGATAGCCCTCGAGGCTTTGCCATAATCACACACACACAAACACACACATGTCACGTACAAATACACAATATTTGTAGGCTACTGATGGATCAGGCATTGAAATTTCATGGAACACAATGTCATATAAAAGATTTAATTTTCTTCTCAGGTATCTATGGTTAGACAATGTGACCAATCGTGAAGCTCGGAAAAAATTGGACAAACTGGCGGATGCGAGAGAATTTTTTGCCGATTTCAATGAAAATTGCCAGAAGATATACATTATTGGTGAATACGTAACCATCGAATAAAAATTAAAGAAATTTTGAGGGCGGTGTTCCTTTCTTCAGTATATACCCAGCAAACCAGCAAAGTATGGAATCAAAATATTTGACAGATTAGTAGATTCAAGAACTTTCTACAACTATATGGAGATATACGCAGGGCAACAGCCAGAAGGTCCTTTTAGAGTTGAAAATTTACCATTTGAAATTAGAAAATGCCTGTGCAGCCCTTTGTTTGGATCAGGCAGAAACGTAGCAATGGATAATTATATACGAGTTATGCTCTAGCAAAGGAACTTTTATCAAAGAAGCTAACTATTGTAGAAACCCTGAAGAGAAACAAGGCTGAAATTCACACCGAGTTCGTCCAGCAAAAACTAGGAACGCTTATTCACCTATATTTGGGTTCCAAAAGAACGCTACACTAGTATCGTATGTGCCTTTAAAACTCAAAATGTGTAGTTTAGTTATCTACAATGCATTGCGATGACGCCATTGATGAAAGTGGTCATACGAAAACCCCATAAATAATTCACTTTTATAATGCAACAAAAGATGGTGCAAACAGAGTTGATGAAATGTCATCTTTATAGTCAACAGCTCGAAAAATCAACGAATGGCCGATGGTTGTTTTTTACTGTGTTGAACGTCGCTGCAATAAATGCCCGAGTTGCCTTATTCTCATAACTCACTCTCATATTAAACCAAAATTCGACAAAGGCCGACATGCTATGTGTCCAAGGTCCAAAGACAATAAAATTACAATTTCTTGCAAAATATGTGATAATTTTTCATGTAAAATTCATTCTTTCTATGTTTGCCAGAAGTGTATGTTAGCTTCTGATCCTTGATTTGGTATGTAATTATTTTGAATGGAATTTTTTCTTAAAGATTGAAATAAGTTTTCTTAAGTAAAGAAGTATAGTTTCCTAATGAAATATTGCAATTGTTGTTTATAATTAAATGGTTTCTATAAAATTTATAACACATTTTCGTAATGACACTGATTCGGGTGATGCAGCCACCCCGTGCGATTTCCAATGTCCTTCTGCCGGGTTAAAACCCTTGGCAACAGATTTTTAAAAAAAATTTTCCTCATCCTTAAATAAAGTTACTGATGATCTTACTAATTATTTTCATGTTGCAGTAAGAAAACTATTTTTCAGTTATTTGCCAATAAAATGCTTAAATATTTTTTAATGTTGTAATATCTATTATTTATTTGATTTTACATACATTCAGCGTGAATGATCTGTTTGCATATTTTTCTGTTTATTTAATTGGTCAGTTAAAAGATTTTATTGGCTTCCTGGGATTAGTTGCAGTTTTCTTCAACTGAATCTTCATCTCAAGAGACATTTTTGAAATTAATTTCTTAGAACTAATTATATTACTTTTTAACTCTATCAAAATAACAGGGAAAGTTTTTAATATTTTATTTGAAATTTTTCTTGAGAAATTTTAGACTTTGAACGAGTATTTGAATTGATTTTCAATATTTCAACCAAACAAACATTTTTCCTTCTAGGATCATTTTATGACATCTGATGAGTATGAAGAACATGCTACATTATATGATGCAATTAGTAATTACGAGAAAACTATGGTCATCACACATGAAGCTGATCCTGCTTGGAGGAATGCTGTTTTGTCAAGTGTTCCATCGTTATTAGCACTAAGGTCTGAATTAAATTTTAAATGTGCTTTAGTACCCATTCACTAACTCAGTCAGAGAATGCGCACACTGTATTTATCAATCATTAAGGACATCTGACACCTTAATAATATACATGTGTATAGGTCATTAAGTAGATTTAATAATTCTTTTAACTCTTATTAAATATTTCAGTCACAAACTATTGTTTTGCTTTTAATTACTATCATTTCTACTAGTGTTTTGCTTTGAAAATTATTATTTTGCTTTTCTAGCTATTGTTTTGCTATTTATGATCTGTTTAGTGGCACTGTCATTCTTTTCCCCCTTCTCCCCATTTGCAATAGAAATATTCATACACTAATCTTAACTTCCAGTATTTTTCATTGATTGCAAAAGACCACAAAGATTTATCACATTTCTTGCATTACTAAAATTTCTAATTAATTTTAACACCATGTTTTCTATCAATTCCCAGCCTGAAATTTTTTACTCAGCCACCAGCACTTTTCCCCCTTTGGAAATTTCTGTGTTTTCATCTGTAAACCATTTAAGCAATCACTCTTTAAGTCATGACTGCATTGAAGAAGTCCATCAAAAATCTCAGTGTTAACACTTATTCATTGATTTTTATTCTTATCAAAACATCTGTCAGTTGATAGATACTCATTTCATTTTCATTTTTAAGACAAAAAATTGTTTAAAGAAATATGTTAGTTAATGTGTTAAATTATTGCAGGGAAATTGCAATTTCCTCGGAAGTGCTTATTTTATCTGACCATCGAGTATTTCCATTTATTACAAAACTAAAATTCAGATTTTTCATTTTGAATTTTAATTATTAGATTATTTTACTAATGATAGAAATAAAAAAAGGTGAGAAGTATTTTATAATGAGCATGTAAATAAATGTGAAATACTAAATAAATTTTTACCTTGCGATGGCTTCGTGGTTAAGAAGGCACCATTTTTCAAAACGAAACAGAATATTTATTAAAATAACATTAAGGCATATTATTTAACTCTGAACAGAATATTGCTCCTACAACATAGAAAATGAAAGCACCTCACGCCTACATGGCAAACGTTCAACTACTTTAAATATAGCAACCTTTTGGGAGAAGAGAAAAAGCAAGCCAAACATGCCTTGTTTGATCACCAAACATTCACCAGATACTAGACCCCCGTCGTAAGATTGTTTGTTGTTGCTGTTTACAAATGAATCATCAATCTGGAAACCAAGATTGAGAAATTTTTTGTCATCAATGAGAAAAAGAAAAGAAAAAGAGGAAAAAAAAAAAAGCCTACATATACATTTAAACATTTTACACTAAAATTCAAATCTTAACTACTATAAATATTTGCAATGAAATACTTGCAATTACACACCATTTTACTATATCAACATAGATAACACTTTTTTTTCCTTAACTTCACCCAGTGATTCCAAATACTCTTTATTCTCATAAAAATTTATAAGTTCTTAAAAAAAGAAAACAAGTTTGTATTCTTTCTAAATATGTTAAAATATACCCATGATAGTATTACTCCAATAATGAAAGTAAAATTTAGCTTCTTACTTTTACATGTAAAGATTATTTAAAAACATTGTCAAAATATCTATATTCAAATTATTTAAATTAGTATATAATTCTGTTCTTTTCAGTTACGTGAAATAAAAAGAACATTTTTATTACACAGAAAATCTTTTCCTCTCAATCAGATTCTATTAAAGTTTTTAATTAGTGGTGTTGCAACACAATTTTTTCCACTTATTTCAACTTATATAAATATCTTTTTTGTGCAAAATTGTAAAACGATTAAGAAAAGAAAAACTGCTTAATCACTAATGTTCAAAGTTCACTGGTGGGGCGTCTGGATATTGCATTGGCATTAGAGAGATTTCCTCTGGGGCAGTGTTATATTTCAAGATTATATTTTTGCAATGCTATGGCCCATCGTTGCAATTTGGTCAACTGCACAGCATTTCTAACTATAAATGCCAGTGGATTGGGATCGATCACAATTTTGAGAGCTGAACTGAATATCCACAGTCCAAATCAGTGCACATACTGTAGTGTAAGCTTCATGCTCTATAGTCAGCCAGCTTTGTTGGGGTTTCTGTAGTTTCAACAAACGGATCCTGCACTGTTGGGTTAATCAATTCTGTTGACTTTGCTAATCATTCCTTCAGTTGTTGAAGTACTGACTCATGAATTTCTAGTATTTCTGTTTGTTTATTTTTAATGAGTTCCATGAGTGGATAGATGATCTCTACATACCCTGAGATGTAATCATGATAGTAATTACATAATCCTAAAAGGATTTTCAGATGGGTCTTCGTTTGTTGATATTTCCAGTTTCTTGATTGCCTTTATTATCTTGGGATCTGAATGATGTTTCCCCAATCTAATAATGTGTGTTAAATATTTAATTTGTGATTTTGCACAGCGTTCGTAGCGGTCGTTACAAGTGCTTATAAGTCCTTATATTTGAAAATAAAATATAAAGGCCCTTATAGGTGCTTACTTTTTCTGTAAAGCCCTTATTTTTTGTTTTTAGTGCTTATTTTTTGCTTTTAGTGCTTTTTTTTAATGAATGCGCATTTTTCCCCGTACCAAAGCCAAAACTAAATAAACAACTTTTCTTCCTTATATGCAACGTCAGATGGTGAATCATACTCCCGGAAATTGCTTTTCCCCCCTTTCTCTGCATGAACGTAACCTATGGTACACGCGAGAGTACAGACAGGTGCACGTCGTTCTATTGGTAAAGAATTGGGAAAACGGTAGAAAATTCGGTACATTCGTATTCTTTTCCTCCCATCCAAATACTAAACATGTTTGAATTCTGTCAAGATTTTAATAATTTGCATTCTGTTCCGCGTGGTCAATTTATTATGATCGTTATGCTTATATTATGAGTATATGCATGAATATTTATAATAATATAGTTGCAGTAACTGGTGAAGTATAGATAAAACTTCCAAAAAATGGGTGTGTTTTTTACACTAAAGCTTTCTAAGGAATAATATTCGGAATGCTTAAATAAAAGGAAAGTAATCAAATAGTCAAAGAATTCCCCCCCTCCCAATACATCATACAGTACGGAGGTTGGGAGGTTCTCCCTTTCTCCGCAAAATCTCTAATATTGAAGCAGCAGAGTTTTTTTTTTTTTTTTTTTTTTGTCACTGTCCGATCTGGATTGAATAGACTAAAAGTTTTTACGGTCTACCCAACCTAAGCGAAGATTGATTCTATTTCGGAAATTAACGCAGTCTGTTGAAAATTAGAATCGGAACACCCCCAGATTAGTAAGCTCTTTCTTTTCTTTTATTTAGTTCTTTATTCTCCGAATACCGGCAGCTTTGATTCCGATTGCATAATATCACATAGGAAGATTATGCCACATGTATTGCGCAATAACGTTTGCGGTATTTTGCAGAGATAATTTTTTTGATGTTTAGTCTGAGATTTTGTTTATGAACACTTAAAAGAGTTTTTACTGTGCTTTCTAAGCAGAATATTTCTCAGTTCAGTTGGTCTATTTTTATATGATGCAATATTCAAATGTCAAAAATCATTTATTTAGCCGAGAAATCTAAACGGCTACAATATCTCCTCACTCCTCTTTTCAGTTACTACCCGGAATATTCAGCAATTTCCCAGTATGCGGGTTAGTTAAGCTCTACTGTTAAAGGATGACTACATGAAGCAATTTCCCGTCTTCTGATTTCAGAATTGCCTCTTTTTTACTTAAATTACTTTGCTTGGAATATATGTTAAGGGCAAACTGTTATGCAATGAAAATTTAGAAAATGTTCAAAATTTTGATTTAAGTTAAATTATTTAATATTAATATGAGTGGAAAAATAAATTGTATTTATTATTAGGTGCCAACGAATACAGTTAAAAATGGCTATTATTATTTATTTTCTATATTTTGAACTGAAATTTCATCATTAAATCTGGTAATATAGTTAGTTCTGCATAGTTTTTTTTTCTCTCATTGTAAACCAATTCTGTAAATTGAACTGTCATTTAAATTAAAAAAAAAGTTAATTGTTTCCATGTTGAGGTAATGCTATTCTCTTAAATATTGCATTGCTCATATTTTAAATTACAAGTCTAATTTTTCTTTTTAAGGTTATGCAGGTGTATAATGTAATTAGACAGGTGCTTATTTTTTCCTTAAAATGTGCTTGAAAAGTGCTTATAGGTGCTTATTTTTTTAACTAAAATGTGGCTATGAACCCTGTTGCAAAAGAACATTTCTTTGGATTGATAGTAAATCCAAGTTACTCTAGTTTGGTGAAAACTTAATCTAAATCTTGGAGATGAGTGTTGAAATCAGTGGAAAATATAGCTGTGCCATCAATGTAGGCTATTGAAAATTGTTGAAATTTTACAATGCATTATTCTTTACTCTTTGAAAAGTTGCCGCTGCGTTCATTAGACCAAAAGGTAATGCTTTAAACTAATATTGACCTTGATGAATTTTGAATGATGTGTATTTTTTACTTCGTTCTGCCATCCGTATAGCCCAATATCATTTGAGTAAATCCAATGTTGTTATGACGTTTGCTCTTCCTATATTGTACATCAAATTAATGATGTTATCCATTGGAAAAGCGTTTAGCTTCGTCACGGCATTCAATGCTCGATGGCCTACACACAATCTAATGTTTCCATCTTTCTTACTTATGCACTACTGGGTAAACTATTTTTGCATTACTTTCTTTTATTAGTCTTGATTTCAGTAAATCTTCTACTTCTTCATCAACCTTTGTTTTCAATGCTTCAGGAATCCTGTAGATATAAGATTTATTCCTCTCCATATTGGATATTAATCTATTTTTATAAGTTTCAACTTTGACTATTTTCAACTTTCTGGTGAATCATGTTTGGTGTTGATTAATAAGAGTAATTAATTTTCTTCCTTGCTGGGGATTTAAATTTTCTAAATTCAGATTCACCTCTATTTTCAAATCTTCCAGGGGGTGTGAAAAATCTTTTCTCTCCAAAGTTATGATTTCTCCAAATTTTTCTGCATTTTCCCATATTACTCCAACTACATTGATGCTTGCTTGAAATTTTTGAATTTTGTTTGAACATACATGCTTCATCTTTCCGTCGGGTTGCTTTTCTTTATAGGAATGAGATGGACGTTGACTTACAATTTCTCTTGGTCCAGTCCAACATGCATAAAGTTTGTTGCAATTAACTTGGCTTGTTCGGTTGCTTGTTTCAACCTTATTTTTAAATGCTGTAAGTAATCCAATGTCAACTTACTTATATTAGGTAGTATAGGTATTTCTCCTGACCATGAAGACTTCAGTACTGCTAAAGGACCTCTTGGTTGCCTTCCATACTTCAACTGAAATGGTGAGACTCCGGTGATGCAATTCAGTACTTCCCGACAAGCAAAGAGCAATTATGTGATGTGCTTATCCCAGTTCTAAGGATCAGTCCTGATGACATAATGTTACATTGGCTTGAGGGACTTGTTCCCCCTCCCCCAAAGTTAGCCTTAGTGGCACAAAACCCCTGTCCTTTGGTACAATTCTTTTTGACTCCCCTCCATCCCAAGAAAATGTCTTAAACAAAAATATGCCATCTCGAAATGGTTAATAACCAGTGCCCATGTTAAACTCCAGTTTCAGTGATGTCAGGAATGCAAAGCATACACAGATGCAAAATGTGTATTGCTCCTCAATGAATCCAATTTCATTGCCTTTTTTGCTTCTGGCAGCATTTATATGTAGAGAACTTCTTCACAGGCATATGAACTAGCCAGGTTCCAGGAACTTTTTTTACTAGGAGGGCGTATTTAAAAAATGAGGGAATTTAGCAAACACCATGGGGTACCCTTAGTAATAGTAAAAATAAATATAGAATTATATCAAAATATTTCGTTTATGTTCCTTGTAAACATTGTAATGTTTAGCAAAGTTGTTACTGCAAATACAGTTATAAAAAAAGCTTTATTACAGCATGTTGTTCATAAATGTTGCTAGTTAAGTAAGGACATTGAAAATTGTTGTTATGCAGCTGAAATAATTTACTGACACACAACAATCAGTTGAAATGAAATTATTTCCTTTGTACCAACTATAACAAAAGGCTATGGATTGCTGTATCATTTTGTTATCTTTTAATTTGAAGAGAAGAAAGTGTATTCTATTTGCAACTGAAATGCAAATTCATAAAATGGCAAGTTTATATATTAAAAGAGGTTGCAGTGTAATGCATAGCATACCATGGCTGTATAAAATGTATAAGGAAATGGTTAACTGTATGTAAAATCAAATGTTTTTAACAGTCAAAAATTTATTCGTCTAATCATGTAATGTTATCTAGATGTTGCTAAGATTCAGTTTAAGGTAAAATATAAAATTCGTACAGTTTTTTTAAATGACCGAGATAAATTTTATTAAAATGTTTATTGCAATTATGAGTGCTTCTAATAGGCAGTGTTCAAATATCTCAATTTGTATGTAGATATTTTAGTTACTTTAAAATTGCTTCGCAGGCACAATGTTTCTGACTCCTGATGGAGGCTGTTTTGTGAAGAATTAACATGAAAGTAAAATGATGACTGTTCGAGCCAGAGTATCATGAGTGTTACTAAATGTTCTTGATGGTCACATAATTATCAAGGACCATCAACATATGATAAAGGACAAGTCCACACATTTTTATCCCAAATCAGGTGTCCTCCATCAGACCTGCTAATTCACACTGAAATCTTCAGTCGCTACTTTTGCAGGTGATACCACTAAACTGTGATTAGAATGAGTTAAGAGAAGTTGAAAATCAGCTTATCGATTATGAAGTACAGTCATATTCTTTATAATTGTGTGATGTGAATACCATTGAACCTGTAGGGGGGTATGCTTGAGAAGTGAGTTGGAAAACATTTTTCCACCTCCATCATCATAAAATAAATGTCTGTTTTTGCATGAGAAATGACTAAAAATACACTTTTTGATTGTACAAAATTTGTTTCAGTTATTTCTAAGAAGAATTGCTGCAATATTAATCTCCAAAAGTAGGCTTATACCATGTTAGAAAAATATTATAATCCAGATGCAAAGTGTTTCATTTTCCATCCTATATGAATAATAAATTTATGCTAAATTTTTTCTGACTACAACTGTAAGGAAAATATCTTTGTAACCTATGTATTTCTGAGTTATATATTGTATTGTATTCTTATCATGTCTTTTTTCTTAAAGGCATGTTTTTGAAGATAGCTGTGATGAATATAAAATTATCATGTTGAACAAAAGATTTTTAAGCTTTAGAGTCATCAAGGTAATGCTTTTTTCAAATTTATTATTCACAGCTATGTTGCATTTTTCATATTTTGCTCTGTTTTATGGGGAAGGAATATATGTGTGTTGAAATCTGAAATCATTGCAGATTAATAGAGAATGTGTTCGTGGACTGTGGGCAGGACAGCAGCAAGAACTTGTGTATTTGAGAAATCGTAATCCAGAAAGAGGAAGCATCCAAAATGCTAAGCAAGCTTTGAGAAACATCATAAATTCTTCCTGTGATCAGCCTATAGGTTACCCAATATATGTTTCACCTCTCACAACTTCATATGCTGAGACAAGTGATAATTTAAGTAGCATAATTGGTGGACCTGTTAGTATTGGTTTATTCAAAAAGATAATAATAGACTTTTGGAATAGGTGAGTTCTATTTGTATTTTTAGATTTTAGGTTTTTGTAATGTATGCTGTAGATTCATATTTTTCATTTAATATTAATAACAGTCATTCTCCATTCCCTTTGAAAATATTTGGATAATCGTGTGATTTCTGTATAAATTTGATGTATCTGTGAGCTATGATTAAGATGTAATGTACTTTTTGTTGCAGAATTTTGTAATTCTTGATCTTAGTTAATGGGTTGTTTCATTCCAGGACTGAGTATGATAGAAATGTTTTAAACTTCTGCAATAATACAGATGTCCGTACATCTTTATGAACATTTACTTTACAAAAATCGAACCTTTAGGAAAAACTTATATTAGTGCCTTTTTTGGAAGGGGATTAATGAAAGAAATCTAAAGAAGAGGATTTTTACTTTTAAAAAAAGTCTAGTTAATTTTGTTTTCGTGTGTGTTTGTGTGCATATAGCATACAGAATGAAATTGATTTTTTTAAAGATGTTTTGATTACCTGTGAAGAACTATATTACGGGAAGGGGAAGTTGTCCCAGAAGTCAAATGTTTTTATTTAATTCAATCCTTTTGCGATAAGAAAAGCGTAACAAAATTCGATTTTATGCATTTCATAAGGCAAACATTAAAACTTTAGACTTTTCAACTTGGTGAACTTATGGATAGAAATGATGCTAATATATTAGTAACTGACACTTGTTCTCTCATTTCAACTCCACTAACGTTATATCTCTGGCTATGATATCTCCGGTGACTCAATGCACCATTATCATTACCACCATCTTTGCCTTCATGTTTGTTTGCTTTTTCAGTTTTAGTGATCAAAACATCACTGCACATGTTATCTGAGACAGTCTAATTAAGTTGTTGGTGACTGTGTTTTAATCTTGAACCTCTGTGGATGGTTAATGAACTACAGACACTTAGTATTTCAGTATAGAGGCCTTTCATGTGAAGCCTTTAGTGAACAGTACTGGCAGATATTGTCTTACCAAGTGACATTGCAACAATAAGATATGGCTGTTCTTCGACTATAGAAGTCTTCAGAAGAGTTGACCAGGCACGTGTCCAATCAACTGCTTGACTTGTTTAGAATATTTTCCACATCTAAGGAATTACTGAATGATCAGGATGAAAGAAAAAAGTAACATCCTTGATTGATTGTCCTTCTTTAATAGGTATGGTAGTGCACCAATGCCCACTATCTGCCATTGGTCTTCTTTCATCCGTAGATGCACAAATATCATAAAATATTATCCTATGAAAGTTATAAACACTTTGCATCAGCATTTAAGTGAACCTCTTTAATTCCCTCAAAATGCTGGCATCTTTGATGGTTGCTAAATTACCATATATTTAGACAGTAGATCAGGATTGGCTGTTAAGATGCAGTATTTGTGTCAGGGTTGCCACGCTATCTGGAAAACCGGGAAAAGTCAGGGAATTCTTTGACCAAAAAGTTGAGTGAAAAGTCAGGGAATTTAAATATTTAAGTCAAAATCTGGAAAGGTCGGGGAATTTTATATGGTGATCACCCCCAAAAAAGCGAGTTTTGCGCCAACGTTGGAAGCAGCCACTTTCTTGGCGAATTGTATATCGCTTAAGCGTCATTCAGGCTGCTGGCATAGAGCCGATTTTCCCAGCTCCAATTAGATTGTCTTTTACAAAGATAAATCAACTTTGTTTCCAGCAACTTTGGTTTTCAGTTACCTTGAGAATCGCATCTGCATGTGCAGTACATGTTGAACTAAATGATAGAAATGAAATCAGTTTAATCCTAGTATACAGTACTATGGAGATTAAAATCAAAGAATATGTTTATTAAGAAGGAAAACTCTGCAACAGGAGTGGCTCCATTCCAACGTAGAGGGAAACAGCTGAGCATGTGCGAAATGTCTGTTGCCAAAGCTCAAAAGCCGGTGTTGAAGTTCGAAGGACGTTATCAAGAGTTCATAAAATGAATATTGTTTAAAATTTCTTTAAAAGAAAAGAAAATGTTTTTTCACGTAAGTAAATTAATTAATGAATTAGTTAATTTTGAGGGGAAAAAACTATGAAAATCCGTGTTTAAATTATTGCAAAAAGTCAAAGAAAAAAAGTTTTGTCCCTGTACACATCGTGGAAAGGGAAATTTTTGCCACCAGGTTCCATCGCCAAATCCCTTTGCGAATTTTCCCTTCGCATTCTAGCAGTGCAATAGCATTATGTCTGATGGAATCTTTCTTTCTTTACATAGACGTTCTTTGGTTAGAATAGCCTCCATGTATTCTATTCTAACCTCCATGTACGGTACACACACACAGAAATCCTTGCTTGCAAAATCTCATGCTTGTAGAAGAGAGATTTCAATTGATTTCAATGTTCCTCCCCCCGACAAGTGGCACTAAAGTTGATTGGATTCCTCTTCTGTTATGTTCTTTTTTCACTAAATTTTAATTTTTTGAATTTGGGTATTGCTTGTTTAAAAGTTTTGGTTTTTAACATTTTTTAAATTCTTTGTTTTTAAAGAAATTGTTTTGTAGTTACATATATGAACCAGCTAAATCTTAAATTTGAACTTAAGATTAAAATTAAAGCTAAAAATTCATGTAAGCACAAGTGAAAAATGAACATATGAAACTTAGATAAGTGGAAAAATATTAATCTTCCATGTTTACTGTTTCAAAAAGAAGTTGTCAAGAGGCAAGTTTTTGAAACTTTAAACTGGTTGATTAATGAGTTCTGAATACATATTTTGTTCCTTTGGACTATATGAAACTTAAAACTGTTTGTTAAACAAAATATTGCTATTTAAAAAAATATCAAATTGAGTCTCAAATAAGGTCAGAGCTTTCTCTACATACATTCATACTCTTAAAAAGCATTAAAATGAAAACTAAAAGTAAATAATAAAGAGTACTTAAGTAATGATAGTAAATAATTGAACGAAATGTACAAAAAATTAAAAACAATATATTGAAAAAGAAAGTAATATGCAAATAAAACTAAGAAAAATCCACAAACATAAGGAACTAATCTAAAGAGTGATTTAGTGCCAAACTTAAAAGTCTTTTAATCAAGTATGAAGAGGGCTGTCTCAAGAACCTGAAACTTATCTTTTTAGTCATAGAAATTTTTGCAACTGATTAAAAAGTAGAACTTTTTGTAGTCATTTTGGGTTCAGTGGATAAAAACTATAAAATTTAAAAAAAAAAAAAAAAAAAAAAAAAAAAGAATTTGCAAATATGATGAACTATTAAAACTAACTATTGTAGTAGACGCCGCTCCTCAAAATAGCTGAAAAAATTCAAACTGAAAAGCATGAGAACAGTATGGTTGCCAAATTCAGTATCTGAACTCTGCTTATCACATTGGGAAAGCAGAACCAATCATTGAAAAAGAAGGGGGGACTTGAACTGGTTGAAAAACAAAAGAAAAAGTAAAAGGATACTTTCAAATGGTTCTGTTTTGTGGTCTCTTAGCTAAAGATTTTTGTCCAATCGCATAGAAGTGTTACGGGGGTAATTGTACTAATTACAGGGGGAGGTATTTCCTGGGGGTTATTGTCAAGGTTTCAGTAGGAGCAATGGCATCAGAATTTGCAAGGTCGTTCAAATAAACAAAAATGGCTATTTACTTGAAACTCGGATGATTTTAAAAATTCTGGCCAAAAGTTTTTGAAAATGAAAAATTAGTCAACGTTATTGAGCTGCAATACATTTTAGAAAAGAAAAAAATGCCTGGTTTATTAGTGAAAGTAGTTGCCAGAATAGTAATTTCTAATCTGAAAACTCATAAAATAGATAGATACATTCCAAAAAAATATTTACATGAATAGATGATATCAAACAAATTAATCTCATATAAAAATTAAATTATCTGTCTTAGCCATCCTACTGGAACCTCCTTATAAGTTTAGGTAACAATAATTATATTGCTGTCAACATGTAAATTTTTTTTTAATCTAAGGCAAATTAAATTTGGGAATTTGATTATCAATGAGCAAATCAATTAAATGATGTAATTCTTGAAATTAATCAATCTTATTGCATACTTTTTTTAATTCTAAGCAGTTGTGTGTGAATGGTATTATAGATTTTTTGGAAGGAGGGGGGAGAGAAATATTGGAATGCCAATTAATGAGTGTAAAGGTGTGAAAGTTAAAAGTCTATTCTTTTATCATAGATTTTAATCTTTTTGGAATTCAGACTTTGTAAAGCTAAGTAAGTATTTTCTTGTTGAAGGTTAGTTTTCTGAAGTTTAAAACAAATGAGTTAAATATTAGCTTCTTCAATTTTGTCATAATTCTTGATTGCTAAAATGTCATTGACATACATGTAAATATTGGGGGAAAAGGTGTATTGGTCTTTACTAAGCTGTTTTGGGAATTGATATTCTTTCATGAAGAGTTATAGGTTACAAAGTGCTGAAGATGAGCAAGAGCTCATTGAGATACCATTTAGTTGTTTCGAGTGCCATTAGATTTCACATAATTGGGAAATAACACACTTTTTAGGTAAAAATACAAATTTTCTTGTGTAGCAATTGTAAGAATCTCCAAAAAAAGCTGCTTTAAGAGAATATGAAAAATTTCTTGTATTGGTAACATGGCATACAGATTCTCAGTGTCGTAGCAATTAGTATTTTTGATGTCCACTATAGTAAGGCTGTCAGAATCAGTTCATGGTTATTAATAATCCAGTTGTAATTGTGTTCTTGATTTTCCGAATTATTTACAGTGTTTAGAATTCAGGAAACATTTTTACCAAAATTATAGTCAATTTCTTATAAGTAATTCCTAGTCCCATTGATGATTAATCTGAATTTAACTGGTGTCTTGTGCAACTTAGGGAATGCATACTGGTTTGAAAATCTGTTGTTGTCAGTAGCAGCTGTAATTTTAAATCTCTGATGTAAAACTTTGATTTGCCTTTGGACTTTACCACTTTTTTTTTTTTTTTTTTTTTTTTTTTTTTTTTTTTTTTTAAGTGATAGTACTTTGTAGTTCCTTTTTAATAAAATTGTAATA